TGGCAGTGGACAAGGTGGTCCAGGATCGCTTAAAGCTGGTAATCTAGTTCTAGCTAATTCTGCTAAATGATCTATTCTTTGCGAGGATTCTAACATTGCCTCTGCTGATAGATCGTCCAAAGTTACCAGATCAACTGAAATATAATGCATTATTAAATTAATTAAATGAAATTATTAAAATTAAAAAACAGGATTTAATCAGTATAAATTTAATGTATCATTTAACATCGATAATACGTACGATAATAATCTGACGGATTTTTAAAGGACGGGCAAGGAAATTCAGCAAGTGCAAAATATGGCAACATATCTCTTCTAAGTCCAGAATACATAATTCTACCTCCTGAAGTGAGGGTGACTCTGGATACCATTGTTAATATTTCATAAGTTGGTGGGTGCAATGTTAGAATAACAACTCTGTGCTCTCTTCCAGCCCATTGTCTTAAGTATTCTACCAAGAAGAAAGCATCAAAAATATCCAAACCATGCGTAGGTCTGTCTAATGTAAGAATATAAGAATCTTGCAAAAGACGACAAGCTAGAGCTAATCTCCGTGCCTCAGACGTCGTTAACGTATTCACAAGACAATGTTTGGTTGCTTCTAATCCAAGTTCCAATAGTATTGCCTCAGTTTCTAATGCCGTAATATTAATTCCTCCTTTTAATAACATGTAAAAATTTAAAGTTTGTTGCGTCGTCAAACCCGGAGTCAGTCCGCATTCTGTTGGTAAATAAGCAACACGAGATCTGTATAAATAATAAAATATATTAATGTTAATAATTTAATGAAACTGTTAAAGAAGAATGACCTTTTTTCTTAATGAACGAGGTCATACCTCAGAATACGGGCGGATACGGATCGGCCGTTCAAAAGAATATCACCTTTCCTGATAGCTTTTTTGCCAGCGATTGTCTCTATAATTTGTGTCCCTTCTTTTTCGGTAGTGGCCATAATAGCCAATACTTCAGTTGCTCCAACTTCCAAACTAATACCACGAAGTAGCGGTAAACCATTCGAGCCTGTAGTTTCTACACCACGTAGTTGTAAGTGTGGATGCTGAATACAAGGTACAGCTCTCAATGACATTGCATAATCTTCGGGTCTTAAAACATTGTGACCTGTCGTGACAATAAAATTCGAAATATAAGATTTATTAATATTTTCAAATATAAAAAATATACGTAGAAAAATATAAAGTATATAAAGATTATTAATTTATTACTTACTAGGTCCTGCATAACCGGGATCGATTGGTGCGATACTGTGTCGTCGATTAGTTGTAACAACATTTTGAAGTAAATTAGCTTCGCTGACACTTCTGAAACGTGCATTGTCCCTGGTTACCGTAAGTTGAGAATGTGCTTGTTCCCTGGGTAAAGCGTGCACGTGTCTAAAGTCTGGATCACTTCTAGCAGAACGCATTGCCGAAGTACCTGGTGCAGATGCTGCACCAATTTGAGACATACGTCGACCTTCTTCGCTAGAATCGTAACCGCTTGAACCATCGCGATTGCGCGAAGTTGGTGGTAATACACGCGGTAGGCCAAATTTTAAATACGTATACGAATTATTGGCAAGTGGACTCTTTGGACCGTATCTCGGATGTCTTAGTATACTCTGTACCGTTGAATCTCGAAGTTGAAAGTTACCGTACGGCAACGGTGATTTTTCGGCCGAACCCAATGCCGAATCCGTAAAATCAGAATTAAGGTTTTGCCTATAAAGAAGAAGCGATTACAATTTCATTCATTTTATTTATTAACAAAATTCTTTTCCATAAATCACACAGATTTCATTATTATGTAATATTATTACCTGTATATGGACCACGCATGCAAATCTTCGCTAGCTGGTGGTTCGAGTCCTCTGGTATCTAAAGCTCCTGGTACCGAGTACCGTCTTTCCAATTCCCAAGCTTCTGAACTCATCTTCCGTAATAATCGTTGTCAGAAGATTTGTCAATCAATTACATTCTGTGGCAATAATTTTAACATATTCAATTAAAAATAAAATAAGATAAATATATTCGAAGATAAATGTGTACAAATTCTTTTTAATTTACAATCTATAATTATATTGAAGCTATTATTATATATATCGAATATAAAATGTTAATCTTTATTTTATTTGATTTTCAATAATGATATATTCCAATCATTTATGTTCACTTAAACGACCTATATAATGTATAGTAATTACCGGAATACGATATCCAATAATGACGTTTACACGTATGTAGTTTATTTATATTGCATAAGGTGTCATGTGTAAAAGAGAGAAAAGAATCGCAGCATCTTGTTTAACGGTTGTATGCATACACGTGTGCATGTATTATACAGGTATAACTGAAGCCTGAAAGAACCCGTGTGGCATCTGTTTCATTGCCATTGCCGACGTCTGGTATTAAACATTTTTCGTGCCGCAAGTCTCACCACACACAGTATGTGTGATTTTTATCTTGGTATACTATTAAATGCATATAACCGCGAGATTATCACTAACGGATATAATTCATTCTTCAATTAATACTAGAAATTTTTTGTAAAATTCATAAATGAAACGTTAATTTATTTGATAAATAAACAAATGCATCGTAACTATAAACTATATATTATAATATCTTTGTTATTTATGCTTTTGTATTATATGTGATTTCAAGATAAATCATCGCGTGTCATATTAGCATTATGAAAACGATCAACGTCCTATTCATTACGTTCATTGCACGAACAGTTCTTAGTATGTCGAAGGACGGTTGATCGAGCTTGGAATTGTTAATAACTGCTGAACAGCAGGAACTTGATGACTGGAATGTTGTTTTTTTTTCTTTCTTTCTTTTTCCTTCATTTGCGTAACGGCAATTTTTTTTTAAAACACTCTCGTAACCAGTCTTACATTATCTGTTTTCACTTACGGTTTATATATTTTTCATAAATCTCGTGCGCGATAGCATAGAAAGTATATGGAAGAGTTGTTAATGATTATATAGAAAGTTGTTAATAATATAAAATTTCTCGGATAGAACAAGAAAGGTTCATTTATTTTTATTTCAGATAGATCTTAAATGATATGAATTATTTTCAATGTTGGTTGAGAGACGGATTTTCTGAAAACCCTTTTATTGTTCGATTTCTTAGAAAACACCGGTCGACTGGATATAACGGAACGTTTAAAGCTATCATTACAACGAAATACTTACATACTTTGTTACAGTATGTCGCAAAGCTATTGTATAATGAAACAAAGAAGCAGATAAAGGTAGAAGTAACTAAAAATATTTAAAGAAAAAAAATGCGATTATTATTAGCTCCCTTCGTATTAATGTAAAACGTAAGATTAGTAAGCTTTCGAGTAAACGACATGCGATCGGGAATGTTATACACTCATTGAAATCTCCCAAAATGTGCCTTGACGATTCATCGTTATAATTTGAAAATATTATCTCGGAAAACTCATTAGACCAATAAATGAATATAACTTACTAAAAAATATATTACTAAATATTGCCGATATTTTGGAATCCACGCTATTAGTAAATTTATGGACATAATTCATTAAAAATAGTAGTCACTGTGGGAGATCCATCCATCAATCATTACTTCTACTTTTTCTATTACGTAAAATTAAATTTATGCATGCCAAAGCATAACCAATGTGATTTAAAAGAATACAACAAATATTTTATATACACATGTTATAATAATAGTATGACGATGTAAAATATATATTTGGGATAGATCTATCATTTTAATCACATTCAAATTAAAGCACCGATAAAAAGTTATATCACAAATATCTGTAAATCATGTGGGAATACAAATTTGTATTTGACAAAAATAATAAAAAGAAAATACTACTATAGTTTTAAACGCGCTATAACATTGTATTCGTGACAATGACTCACCGGCGACATTCAAAACGGGCCTTCAACCTAGCCTCCTCGAGTAGTCTCGAGGACGTTGTCGCATCTCTGTTCTGTCTACCTATCTGCACTTCTTCTTTTTTATTCTTTCAGCCTTCAGTAACAAGCAGCATCCACTATTCAATAATAAAAAGCAAAATTACACGAAAATAAAATTTTGTTTTGTTTATTTTAAATTAGGGACTCTAATTGATCGCTCGGTGTTCATTGTAAAACCATTGTTGTTTGTTTTCTTTTTAAATAGAAAATAATAAGAAATAATAAATATCAAATATACGGAATATAAGCTCGTCGCGCGTTGAGTATTTTGCTAGCACTCTTCTGTCAGGCGTACCTTATGAACCTCTACGGGCCCCGTATCTCCTTCCTGCCCACCCCAACATAATAGCACTGAGGGACCTCGACTTTATTACAGGGACGTCTCTTCGAATTCACTTTAAAGATAAAGCTTTTTATTCGTTCAATCGTCTATCATAAATTTTTATTGCTACATCAAAGGTTCCATTTGGAAATACACTTTTTATATTGTCATTTCATTGTAATTAAATGGAAAATATTATGCGTGCTAAAATTTCATTATATTACTTTCATTTTTCGGGAACTACAACTTTCTAACTACGATAATGTGTCCTTACCACCAGTCTCTCCCACCACCAACTCATACCAAGAGAAGACATTCACCTCAAGAAGCCAACTCCCGGAGAGTATCCTTTCTGATTGCTTCGAACAGTCGCTGTTCGACGTGTAACGTTATTACGAATTACAAATATTTTTTTCTATGATGGTATGTAAATTTGTTGTTAGGGATTTATTTTTTTTTTTTTCATTATTTTAAGAGATAATACGCGATTAAATCCTTATACACGCAATATATTTTTTGGGGACTTATTAGCACACTTCTTAAGGTTTGTAATGAATATAATATAATATTGCAGTAAGAACAATATTTTTACTGGTTCAATAAAAAAACATTCTTTTTTTGTTATGTTTTTTTTTTAAAAAGGAACGACTTTGAATGGTTCTGAAATGATTGCATTAATATTATGGTTTAATATCAATTAATTAAACACTTTCAAGATGACCCCATCCGATTGTATCTTGGATATTTCAAATGTTTTTCATTCAACCACTGTAATAATTGAGAAAAGTTGTTTAAGCAAATCAGAGCCTACATCGGTTCTAAGAGATGTATCTGCTCGAGTTCATGGTGGTGAAGTTTTAGCTATATTAGGTTCTAAGGGATCTGGGAAAAGAGCTCTTTTGGATGTGATAGGTGTGTATCTCTTACTCGAAAATATAAATTATATATATTTGTTAATAAACATTAATATTTACTCAAGCTGGAAGAGCAGAAGGAGAAGTACGAGGCAGAATAACATTAAATGGTAATTTATTAACGCCTGAATTATTCAGAAGACATGGTGGATATGTTGCCCATAGATGCCATTTATTACCAAGTTTAACAGTTCGTCAGACACTTACTTATGCTATGTGGTTAGCAAATTTAAGCAATCGGGAAGCTAGAGTCAGACAGGCATTAGCTGATTTAGCATTATCTCAAGTTTCCAATAGATGTGTGAATGATCTTACAAGACCAGAATATCGAAGACTCATGTTAGGTGTACAACTTGCTAAGGATCCAATGCTACTTCTCTTAGATGAACCAACTTGGGATACAGATCCATTAAATACATATTTAATTGTATCAATGCTGTGGTCTTATGCAACTAGGAGGGGATCTATTGTCGTTTTGACTATGGAAACACCTAGATCGGATGTATTGCCATTTGTCAGCCGTGTAACATTATTATGTTTAGGTGCTGTAGTCTATTCCGGACCAACAAGAAGCATGTTAGACTATTTTACTTATATTGGATTTCCATGTCCAGAATTAGAAAATCCGTTAATGTATTATCGTAAGTTTCATTATTTTCATAAGAGAAATTATTGTTTTCAAATAAACATTCAACTTTACATTGTTATACTATAATTTAAACTTGGTTTTAGTATGTCTTTCAACTGTAGATCGACGTTCAAGAGATCGTTTCTTAGAGTCGAACCAACAGATCTCCGTATTAGTTGAAAAATTTAAAGTTGAAGGTCTTTTATATATGAAAGAAGCACCACAAATATCACCTAATTTAAAAGAAACACCACTTGGAATTATGCATAAAGGTTTGGGCCGAGGCATTAAGCCAGGATGTTTCTCGACACTTTTAGCCCTTTATTTGTAAGAATATTTTTAATTGTTTAAATTATATTTAATTTTTAATATATAATAAAAAAACATCTCTCAGGATAATAATTCACGGATAATATTTTTAGAAGAAGTATGGCAGTTACATTCTCTTTTAATAAATGTGGTTTAGGACACTTTGCTGCACGTTTTTTATTGCTACCATTCAGTGTAGCTCTGATGAGTATATTATATTCACATTCAACTCCTGTGCAATCTAGAATATTTTTACAAACAGGAGGCTTAGTTTTTAACATATTAACGCTGTTTTATGTAACTGGAATAGCAACAACATCGTTACTTTGTATGTTTTTACAATGAATATCAAATATCTAAAAATATGTTTAGAATATTTTCATTTCTATGTAAGTTTCTCATTTAGTTCCAGGTTTTCGTGCTAGATATTATCAAGAAAAGAGGGAAGGCCTTTATGGTGGAGCCATGTTTTTGACTGCATACACATTATTAAGTTTACCTTTAAGTTTTATCTCTACCATAATTACAATTGGTATCCTAATACCAATCCTAGAATTAGATCATTCAGCATGGGCCCATACTTCTGCCATCCTTTGGTCGAACTATATTGCTGCTGAACAAGTAACCGTTGCTTTATTGATGATACTTGAGAATCCTTTAACTGGTGCGATAACAGTGTTATATGTTGCATTACTATCTCTTGGTATTGGATCTGGAGCAATTCGAAGTCTTCGAAATTTACCGTATTGGCTAGCTACAATTTCTAGTGCTTTACCTGCAAGATATGCCTCATTAGCATTAAATCAATTAGCTATGGATAAGCCAATATTTTCAAATTTGTCATATAATGAAACTGTGACTTGTCCAGGTATACCTGAATTATGCAGATATGCAGACGGACGAACTTATTTAATAGAACGTTTTACGCGCGAAGGTGAAAACATATCTGAAGTATTAAATGTAGAATTAAACTTATTGATATCTTTAGCATTTGCTGTTGGATTAATTATTTTAAATAGTATTCTTTATTTATTACCATTACCTGCTAGAGTTAAAGCGAAATTCAGAGAATAAAATAGTATAACATTTATGTAACAATACAAAATTAGAAAAGCGATCGATCCTTATATTACTGTACGGAAAAATATAAAATAATATTATAAAGAAATTATGTATTCTTATATTATTTTTATAGGAGCTTGTAAAATATATAAAAAAATAAGTATTTATATATCAATATATTACACATTTTTTATACTTTATGGAAAAGAGAAATTTATAATAGCATCTAAATTTATAGTACTTTTAGTTATATCAATTATAATTATACTATAGTGTGTGTAATCTCACACACATATATTAGGCTGTCCCATAAGTTCTTTCCTTTTTTTTTGATACGACTTCAATAAACAATATTTGTTGTTTAAGGAAATCATACATAGCGTGGCGCGGAAAGAACTTATGGAACAACCTAATATATATATGTATATTAGAGAATTACATAATTAAAAAATTATAACTTAAACTTTTTTATATGTGTAATTAATAGTTTAAATCTAGCAAGTTATCTTTTTTTGTTCATCGTACTGTACAAAATCATTTTTTAAATCTTAAATATACATAATCACAATCATGCTTTATGATTTATATATGAAAATCATGTAAAACATTCTTGCAAAATAATTTCTATTTATTGCTCATCTATTTCTACTTGTTGCATCTCTTTAAGATCATCAGCCACAGAAAATTCACAGCCAGTAGAACTAACTATCTCACTTATATCTACATTAGCAGCAATTTCAATTAACTTTAAGCCTTCTCCTTGAATTACTTCAAAGACACCCAAATCAGTGATAATTAAATCAACACACCGCTGACCTAAAATTATCAAAAAATGTTATTTTTGTTTTATCTAAAAATGTATAAAAACAGAATAAGATATAATAGCATTACCTGTTAAAGGCAAAGTACAATTGTCAACAATTTTAGGTCTACTATCACGCGATTTGTGTTCCATAGTTACAATAACTTTTGTATGTGTGGAAGAAACAAGATCCATAGCACCACCCATTCCTTTAACCACTGTTCCTGGTATCATCCAATTTGCTAAATCTCCATTTTCAGATACTTGCATAGCACCAAGTATTGTCAAATTTATGTGACCTCTATAATTAGGAAATCATAAAAAAAAATAGAACAAAATGTATCAATTATGGGTATGTTAGTTGAAATAATGTTGATATACATATATATACCCTCGAATCATAGCAAAACTATCATCGCTACTGAAAAACGAAGCTCCAGGTAATACAGTTACTGTTTCTTTTCCAGCATTTATGAGATCAGGATCAACATCCTGTTCATCAGGAAAAGGCCCAAGACCAAGAATTCCATTTTCTGATTGTAATGTTACTTTTACACCTTTAGGGATGTAGTTACTTGCAAGCATTGGAATACCAATACCCAGATTAGCTGTATATAATTTTATCTTTAGAACGTGTGCATAAGAAGAAGTAAACTTTTATAATAAAGTAATTTTTCTAAATGTAAATATAAAATCTTACCATACATTCCATCCTTAAATTCTAAAGCAGCACGTCGTATAATTCTCTCTCTCGCTTTGCTAGCAGGAGTTACTTTCTTTGGTTTAGCACTTTGTTTAGTTGAAAGTTTCTGTCAAGTAAAATAATTTATTATCGAAAAAGAAAATAATTTTCAATATTAAAATGTCATTAAAATATATACAGATTTTCTTACTTCAATAGGCTTTTCATAAATTGGACCTTTCACAACTCTGTCAACAAAAATTCCTGGTAAATGAATATGATCAGGATCTAATTGACCAATTTCTACAATTTCTTCAACTTCTGCTATTGCTATCTTAGCAGCTTTACACATAACAGGATTAAAATTTCTTGCTGATTTTCTAAAAATTAAATTTCCAGCTGGATCAGCTTTCCATGCTTTTACAAGAGCAAAATCTCCCGTAATAGCAGTTTCTAAAACATAATTTCTCCCATTAAACATATTAGTATTTCTTGGTTCTCCTGAGATCTCTACATTTCCATCTTTATCATATTTAATGACAACGCTTCCTTCTTGTACTATGGTTCCAAAAGCGGTAGGTGTATAAAATGCAGGAATACCAGCACCACCTGCTCGCACACGTTCTGCTAATGTACCCTTGAAAAAAAAACCAACACAATCAGAACAATAATGAATTAAATATTTATAAACGTATAATCAATTTTGTAATTACTTGAGGCGTTAATTCAAGTTCCAATTGTCCACACAAATATTGTTTTTCTAATTCAGAATTTTCACCAATATATGAAGATATCATTCTTTTAATTCTTTGCTCTTTTAATAGTTTACCTAATCCAGCATTTTCTGTTCCAGCATTATTTGAAACTACTGTTAATTGTTTTGTACCTCTTTTTAATAGAGCAGATATAAGATTTTCTGGTATTCCACAAAGTCCAAAACCACCAACCAGAAGTTTTGCACCATCATGTATATCGGATACAACTTCATCTACGCTATTAAAAACTTTTCCTTTTCCTACAGGCGGTGTTAATTTTTGAATTTCTTCTTCTTCTAAGGGAATATCAGTTTTAATAGAAAAGTTAAATGCGCATATCTACAAAATAAAATGAGTACATTAATAACTTTTATAACTGCATATATATTTTTTTTTTTTATATCTCCAATGACAATGCAATATTCGCGTTCCATACCTTTGTAATTTTACAATTTTTATATAAGTTACAGGAACGTGAATTAATCCTTATAAATGTAGTAGTAGCTTTACTTATTGCAAAAGCCATATTTTCGAAGTAAGGAAGAAGTATAATGTCAATTCGTTCACTTTCTGTAAGTGCATAAACTTTTTTCACCACACATATATAGTCTTATCTGTGAATATCCACCGCGCTGCAGTGAATAAATAATATTCTGTAATTATACTGAACAAAACATATGACGACACAAAATATCATGGAATAATAATAAATAAAATAAATATTTTTTCACATTGCACAAGCGATAAGCAAAATAGTTACAACATTAAACAAAGTTACGAAAGAACTTTCGAAAGTATTAAACTTGATAAATATTCATAACCACAAATAACATATTTTTTTTCCGATTATATTATTTACCTAAATAATTTTTCATTATACCGCATGCGCGTGACATCGGCGCACGCGTAGTATTGGCGCATATGCATATCGGCGTATGCACATGATATTGGCGCACGGTATTTAAAAAAAGTAAATTTTTTAGGCAATATCTATTATTTATATAATTATCCAATTTAATTCATAAATATGTATGATAAATATTAGATATTTATTTATAATATTATTTTTACATAGCGCATTTAATTTAAAAACGTAACAGACAACTTTTATTGATTGTAATAAATATCTCATTTCAGAAAACGATATAGAGAAATTTTATTGAATATTTGATTTCTAACAAATAATACTTTTCATCGACAAGGTATGTATATACAGACATGTTAATGTGATCATACCAACCATAGTATACTGGCAAACAATAATGGGCCACGAATAAAGTTCATTTATCGGGTATTGTTTACACGGGAATGAAGGTGATTATAAGGTGCATTATGCGACATATGCAATATAATACAGGTCTCTGTACAGCTTAATTTACGCAATACAAATATTCAATGTTTTATACAAAAATATATCTCCTATATATATTGAAATACATTTCTCGTACTAATTTTTCGAAATCTTTATCTTAGAAGTACTTGTTTAAAGATTATATTTTATTATCATCGATGTCGTCCAGCTCTAGCGTCGGTAATTGCACCCCACAATTCAATAACAAAATCTTCTGTAAATCCGAAATCTTCCAATTCGGAGTTATCTATCGCTTCAGCAAAATCAATGCTATTGAATTTACCTTCGGCAAGTTCCCAAATTCGCGTAGCTACAATAAAAGTAATTTATTTAAAGTAAAATGATATTATTGAAATATATTAGGTGTAGCAATTAATCTAGTGCCTTGATATTAAATTCATTGCATCAAAATAGCCATTTTTTTTCGTCAAGGAATTCGGCAGTTGTTATTATATATCATACTAATGTTACACAGTACTTTTTTTTACACGATTTCGCTTTCACACGGTTTTGATTAAATATAATTAAATATACAACTGATTAAATTATGCGCATTTTGATTTGTTCTCGATTTTCCATGTAAATTGGGAGATAGGTGTATATATATATTATATGTTACCATCTATTTACCTAATTCAGTATCGTAAATTCCCATAAAGTTCTCCAATATCGTATTAATTTTTCCTACTGCAATCGTAGCAACATCATCTATCTGATATAACAAAGATTATAAATAAATATTGATTATATAAAAGAAGTTAACTTGATTATCGATCGGAATCTAAAATTTTTAAATTATTAAATAATACTTACTACATTTTCTACAATTTGTGCGCTTCCATCTGCTTTGAACCTTAATGTTTCCTTACCAGAACCATAACCAGACTTTTTCCCTTTTTTTAAATCTCCTCGTGGTCCAATATTTCCAAAGCCGTTTTTTAGTGGTTCTATTAACCTTAAGATAAACGTCGTTCCTTTGGGTATATCTTTTAAAATTTTGGCTACGTCAAAATGTCGTTTTCCGATTAAACTCATTGAATCGATTTTCTCGATATGATCACCAATTTCTATGACTTTTATTTTATCTATCACAGATCCTTCTTTTATACGTTTTATAAAAGCATATCCGGCTCCGTTATCGGTAATAGTAAGTCCCAAAGCATCATCCGTTTTCATTAATTCTATCTCTTTGGGTCTACCTAAGAAAAATCGATGATACAAAATTGAAAACATTATCTTTTTTTTGGCGTATATATTATATCTTACATTCGAAATTTCGTAAGGTCGATATAAACCTTTTCTGTGTGCGAATATGAAATCACCAACACCGATTTGACTACCCAGTAATTCAGACATTTCCACTTTATGCGTGTTCAACGTGCAAAATAGAATCTGAAAAAAAAAAAAAAAACAATCATACATATAATACTTGTAATTATATATATATATATATATTGGTAATATAAAACTGGAATGCAGTATAGAACACGGGTCGTTTTAAATGATCAGAAAGTTAAAAGTTCTGTACTCGACTTTCAATACAGCATGCTTATAGTTTTAGAAGGGGACACGTTCGTTATGTCGAGGTATGTCACGGTCCGTGAGCAACGTTTCCTGCATCCGGTATGCATCCCCTATCCATTTACTCGCTTTCCATTTTATGTAAGTCTGTTCAAATTCGATTTATTCTCCGTAACTTCTGTTTTACGCGAGATATATAATATGGAATTCGAAAAAATAGTAGTATACGTAATGTGCATTGTTTGTTTGTTTTGTTTTTCCTACATAAAATAAATAAAAAGTCAACTCACTTCTTCCACTGGAATATCATAACATTCGGCTATCTTTTGATAAAGTTCTCTGACATTACTGAATCCAGATATAAGGCCCGTGGGACTACCATGTGCCAATTGACAATGAAAAACCAATGACGATTGGGAAACTCGTTGCGAACGATGTTCTTGCGATTGATGAGGATTATTGCCCTCTTTATTATTTGTTCCATTCATACCGGCTTCTTCGTGATCGTTATCACTACTTTGCTGATTACGCTGACGATGCTGATGCGTACCGTTAATTTTTTTTTCACTCATCGGTGATCTTGTTGACGGTGAACGCACTTTGAAAAGCGGCATACTGAATTATAAACTATAAAAAGGAAACAAAAGATCAATAGAATAATTATACATTGATTTTAAAATCACAAATATCGATCGAACCATATTAAAAATATACCAACGATCCTTGGATATAAATACTTTAATTTCTTTCTATCTTCTAATTAATGTGCAAATAAGTGATATCAATACGAAGAAATCATATCAATATGATAAAAACAATTCGTTCAATATATTTTTTAAGATGGCGGGCTTTTATCTTCGATATCGCTTATCTTAAATATGTTACATTTTAATTTTTAAAATATAGAAATCTAGGTTTTAATTATCTTCTTTTTCTTTTCCTTTTATTTTTTATACATTAGAAGTTCATTAACTGCTTAAATCGCGAATAGATGAAAATCAAATCTCTTGATGAGTCCCATTTGCTTCCGCTCAAAACATTAATAATTCTTGCGTATAAGTATGACACGTCACCTAAAATATTCGTAATACTAATTCGATCGTTTGTACTGAGAATCATGTTAATTAATAATATTTTATTTGTTAATACTTACTATCTTTTTTATCTTCAACAAGAGATTAAATTATTTGTTAAAAACACAACAAAGAATAAAGTTACGCGTCTTTTACATTGAAAAATATAAAATGAAAGAAGATGGAGAACGAATGCAAGATGATGGCGCGAACACGACGCGAAAATATCACAGATACCATTCAGTATACCGTTCAGACATGCAATCGCATAAGTTTGCTGTACTATCGGGAGGAAAGTTTTTCGTTCGTCACTTTCCGTACCTTATCGTTCATGTTTCCCCTTCTTTTTCTACAACCCACTACCTGAATTATTTTCATCTCTCTTTTTTCATTTCACGAGAGTATTCTCTATTTTCCCACTCTCTTAATATCTCGTTTGCTACCGTCTCCCCTCCTAATAATTATCGTTTCTATATACAAACATACATTAGATATTTGATTTGAATATATATACAACACATTCTTAGATATCTAATATACTTCATCAGTAATAATAATATTATTTTTTATATCTATTTTCAAGTTGAACAAAAGATAGATATATTATTTATCACTCATTTTATCTTGAGTATATAGATAGAAGTGCTGATAAAAAAAATTGGATTATAACATTTTTAAATTGTTGATCGATAGTAATCAAAGAACATTCTACATATATACTCTAATTTCTATATCATGTGATTTTTTTGTCATTTAGAAGTATGAAGTATGTAAGTATACTGTATACCGATGATAAAAACGATCATGGAAGAAATGTAGGTCTAATTAGTTTGATGTAATTTTATATCAGACGTATTTTCCTTATTAACATAAAGAATTGCATTTATTAATTTAATGTGTAATAAGTAAAGAGAACGGAACGTATCGTAACAGAGTAGAATAGCATTGACGTAGTATTCAAATGTTTTTTCTTATTCACAATTGACCGTGTAATATAAGAGCATTTATCGTAAATTTGGAAATAATACGACTATGTCACAAAAATCTTACTATAATCATTTTTATCATCGGAGGACAATATAAATATTATATTAAATCGATGTTAGCTTTTGTACTACCATCAACATTTACAGATTATTCTTTAATATCTAATATGTGAATGAAATTATTACAGTACAAATACTACAATCTCTCTATAATTTTTAATTTTATTTAAATCTAATAAAACATAGGAGAAAGAATGTTTAATTAGATATGAATTTATTATTTTGTGTATAATTTACTTTACAAATGACAAAAACTATATGTATAATGTAGATGGTATAGAAGTATAAATATTGTATATATAGTAACAACGTGATTTAATATACTGCATCAAATATTTATGTAACCAACAATAAATGTTGACAAATAGTAAATACAAATCTATCTACTCTAGTATTATTATTAAATTTTTTATATATATAATTAGAATAGATTTTTTATATTATACGTATTAATAATAAAAAGGATGAAAAAGAATATCAAGAGAATTCAGTCTGCTTATTTTATAAGCTAATATAAGACATATCGGTTTTAAATATAAACCATGTCACGCATAATTGCTTATGCCTCATATCTACTACATACGTACGTATTTATATATGTATATTTGTATATATCTCACTCAAATACTTATTATCTAAGATAAAATTCTTTGTATTTTTGACTTCTTATAGAACCGTGTAAAAATCACTAGTGATGGCACAAGAATATAGCATTTAAATCTATATTCTTAATTATATTAATGCTATCTTACATACATATTGCGATTAATTCGAATATTATTAAAAAAGATGTCTCAAAATTTCAATTGTATTCTGATTCACATAAGATGGAGTACCTATATATACAAACCCCATTATTACTACGTAATTTTAACCATTTTTGTTTAAATGTAATTCGGGTTGTATAAGAAAAGCTTTCCATACTTTGCCGCAATTAGACTTATCTTCCAATGTTAAATAATTTCTCATCGGTACAAGTAAATAATCGTACGGATCTGTATTCAATTGATACTCTTGCATAGATCTGTATATAGCTTTAAATGGTGGTTGTTTCTGTGAATGAAACATACCTCGAGATCCATGTAACACTAATGCTCCATGTTTCTCTGCTTCTGTACAGACTGACATATACATGCAATGATCAGGTCTGTAATTAAATCTACATGGATAAACATAAAGTTTTTCAGGATGATAATGGAATATTATATTTATAATATCTTGATCTCCCCATGTTATCTTTAATTTATATTCCTTGTGAATGGGCACAACATAATTGGTCCATCTAAATTCTCTCATTCTTGTTAAATTCATCAACATAACACCAGAATTTACTCCCAATTTTCCATAATATGGATGTTTAGCAAATCGATTATACCAGCCAGTATTGGGATCCTCGTGTTCTGGACTTAAAGCAGCTAGTTGACTGGAGTTCATCTTTTTAAATTCATCCCATATTTTCTCTGGTGGAGCTAAAAACAATGTGTCTGTATCCATGTACAAAACTGCATCCGTATTGTTTAAGACAGTCTGAAATATATATTATATTTATTATTTAAAAGTTATTCTTTGTTTAATGTCATTAAATAATAAAGTATAATCAAAGATATACTAACTGGTAGAAATAATCGTTGAGCAGCACAAGGTTTAAATAATTTTTTCCATATTCCTGGATCATTTCCTTCCGGAAATGTTACAGATCTTATTACAAAGTCAAATGTTTTGTTAGAAATAAGTTTCCATTCTGATAACTTTTCATTAAATGCAGGTATCAAATTATTTTCTGTTATTACTATAAATTGTAATGACGTATTTGTAAAAACTAATGCTGACTTAAGCATAGTCAACGATTCATCTAATCTATCTCCACAGACTACAACACAAATAGTTACTTCTCTGGTTGCATGTATATTTATTTTTTTCTTAGGCGAAGAGTATGACAATTTTTCTTTATTGTGCTCATCGTATATCTTATTTTTCAAATTTGTAGTTAAATTCAATAGTATTACCAAAACAGCTAGTGTTAAACACAAAACAAATAATTTATAAATTGACTTCATTGTAATCTTTCTTTTCTAAAATCCCAATTGGTGATAAGACTTTTGTTCATATTTATTAATTAACAGTAGTTTCGCCATTTTACATGGTATCTTAAATCTTTGTAAATACTATTAATAATGTTATTCTATTCATTAATTCTTTTGCTGTACTAATTTTAATTACCACATCTTATAACTTCACAATTATTAGAAAACAACGGTAGTTACATTTCTTTTCGCAAAACACAGCTAAAGTAATGATTTATAAATTGAATAAAATAGGATTTCTCCATAATTGTCCGCATATTTTGTTTTGCTTTCATAATCACTGCAATCAAACATTTAACATATGTAAATCTATCAACAATAATCGCTAATACAATTTACCATGTAAACACACCAATCTACTGAGCGATCTATCATGTAGTTTTCTTTACTAAAACAAGACATCCTTAACATTTTCTTTTTAATATTTTGACATCCAGCATTTATATAGTTATACCAAAGAATACAGAAATACATAGAAGCTCACAAGTCTCCTTTTTTATCTATCCAGTTTCATTTTTGTTATAACCGGGACCACCAGTGGGCGATAGTATGTAGAATACTGTATTCTTTGATGGCGGTTTCAAGTCGTCAATTTAGTGTTATAATCAACTTGTATATGAATTTAAAAAATCCTTGTTAATATTGATTTATTATTGTCTGTTTTTAATAGTTCATAGAAATTAATGTGATGTTTAATACACAATGAAAAATGTTTTAAAATCTAATATAAATCTAAATATTTAATAAAATAACATGAAGAGTAAGTGCTATTTTGACAGATCTCTTGGAAAGTAAACTCTATAAGAAGTGCAGTGCTGTTTCAGAAATGCATCAATGAGTGTAATTCCATATAAAATCACAATAATCATGAATATATAGCATACTTTAAAATATAAACATTTTATATAATTAATTATCAAGACGTAAGCAATAATGAATATATATAATAAAAAATAATTTTTATCAGAACGTTTTTATAATTAGTATCACACACAGTTAAATATTAAAATAATTATTTTTTATTCTCTAGAGATATATATGTATATACATATATAAAAAAAAACTTGATTTTATATAAAAATAATTAAAGTAAACATTTTCAAACAATGTTAGAAAATTATGTTTATACAATTAAAATAAATTATGATTGTTAATACAATAAATTCATTAAAATATACCGTTATATATATAAAACAACGAATCCTTAAGAATATGAATAAAACATCTTAAGAAGTATTGAAATATAATCGTAAGTTAATATGTGTAAATGTAACTTTTAAAATAATTCTAAAATTTTTATAAAGTTTAAATTAATCACCAAATATTATAAATATAATTGTTGTTTTCTAGTTTCCATTATGGATGATTATACACCCATAGATGAAGATTTCCCTGGAAGATTACTTCATCAAGCTGCCCTTTGGGATAATGCTGAATTGTTAGAAGATCTATTACGAGGTGAACATGCTCAATATATAAATAGTCAAGATTCTTGGGGTAGAACACCATTACATGCTGCAGCTATAACAGAGAATTCTCGATGTTTAGACATTCTCCTTAAAGCAGGTGCTAATCCAAATATACCATGTGGGCCTAGAGGCCATTATCGTACACCATTACACATTAGCACAGAACATGGTCATAACTCCAATGTAGAAAAACTTTTGGAATTCAATGCTGATTTAATGATCTGTGATGACAATGGTTTAAATCCATTAAGCATAGCAGAAACATACAAGAACAATATATGTATTAACTTACTTAAGTTGGCCGCTGAAAGATATGAATTAGCAAAACATGCATCTCATGCTTCATTACGTGCTGCTTGCATACAAGGTGATATTGTAGCAGCTAGAAATATGATTCAAAGTTTGTCAACTGATTTGGAATCAATTATTAATATGGCTCCAAATGGTGCAAATACATTGCTTTTTATCGCTTGTGAAATGGGCCACAAGGATATAGTGAAATTACTTTTGGACAATGGGGCAGATTGTAGAATACATCCAGTTACAAAATATTGCCCATTATATATAGCATGCCATAATGGTAAAGTAGAAATTGTGGAAATGCTTCTTCGCTATTTTCCAAATCAAGTACAGTTCCTCACAGTTGAAAAATGGTTGCCCATTCATGCAGCTGCTATCAATGGTCATTATTTAGTTATCGATATATTATTAAAATTTGAATATCCACAAAATCTATACCAGAGATATAGAGACACCTCCGGAGAATTTGAGTATGAAATGCCATTTGATATTAATACTCAAGATGCTACCGGCCAAAATGTTTTGTACATATCTAGTAATTTGGGAAATATTAAAATCGTGGATACGTTATTAAGTTTTAAAGTAAATGCACGAAAGATAAAAGAAGAAGATGCAGGGATTACTCAACCATTACCTGTATCCAAACGAAAGATATCTAGCGGAATTCAAAGGTTAATGTCCTCTTTGAATTTTAGAAGCAAGTCTTACGATAAAAAAGATGATAATATGATAAGTCCTTTAAGTATAGATTTATATTGCAATAATAGCGTTGAAACAGCATTACATACTGCTGTAAAGGGTAGGCATACAGAGGTTGTAGCAGCACTACTATCAGCTGGAGCTAATCCGAATTTGTCAGCTAAAATATCTGGTGATCATGGTGATCAAGAAATGAACAACTCTACTGTATTAACTATAGCTTGTCAAAATCGTGATATAAAAATTGCTGATCTTTTATTAAAACATGGAGCAGTCGATAATGATTGTAAAGCATTAAAAATTGCAGCACAAAACAGAGATGAGGCTTTAACTGCTAAACTATTATCTATAAAAGCTTATCCCGACTCAGAATATAAAATTAATAAAAAAGCCATGACAGATTGTACTCAAACTTCACATTTTTCTGCACTTCCTTCTTTTGGTAATGTTACTTATTCTACGTTATTTCCGAATACTCCAACTATGATAAATTGGCATAATCAACAATGTCATTTATCTCAAATTCGCTCACAATGGTTGATTGATGCTGTACTGCATGTTAACAAAAAATTAAGTCCCAAAAATAATGATCTTGTATTATATGCTATCACAAGGATAGACATATCTCATAATTCTATAACTTCTGTACCATCTACTATCTTTTATTTGCAGAGTTTAAAATACTTAAATATGGCGCAAAATAAAATTGATATCCTTACAGCTGAATCAAAAAATCCGAAGGATAAACTATGTCCTGTTTTAGAGGAAATATATTTGCAAGATAATCGTTTAGAACAATTACCTGATTTTATAATGAGTTTACCATCTCTAGAAATCATGGATGTATCAAATAATAAATTACAATGCCTTCCAGAAAATTTATGGCGTGCACCTAAATTGAAAGAGTTAAATGCATCATTTAATTTGTTACGTGATTTGCCTAGTCAAATTTCTCAAAACATTTTTAAAAAGTCACCACGTGAAGATTCATTAAGCAATAGTCCTAGTACACGAAGTTTAACTTCTCAATTGGGTATTCCTCGGGATGACTCATTAGAATTTGAATCATTTACAAAAATAGCTAATGCTCAAATTATAGAGATGGAACGTCCACACTTTTGGACAGGATCTATTCAAGTTTCAGAAAAGGTTTCAGACGATACTGAAACCGGTGTTAGATCATTATTGGGATCTTTAAATTTGGCACACAACTTGTTTAATAGCATACCAGTAGCATTACCATGTTTGGCTGTTAGCTTAGTCCGTTTAAATATGGCTTACAATTCTCTAAGATCAATGAGCCATATTACTTCTTATCCTGCCAGTTTAAAACAATTGGATTTATCAAACAATCAAATTTCTTGTTGGCCTAGTTTACCACAAATTGATAGTACAGACTCAATGGAACAAGCAAATACAGCTTGTTATTGTCCTACTACTAATGTACAATCACCGATGATTCCTAATAATAGACAAACAGCAACATCTTTACGTGATATTGTCCTCATGTCTGTATGTACGCATAGAAGACATTTGCGGCTAGAAAATTTAAGAACACTTATCCTTGCTAATAATTTACTGAGTAGAATTCAATTAACTTCAATAGACGATGGAGAAATGCCAAATATAGATGAGGAAGGCGTAGATAAAGATATGAAAACAAATTATCCTGGATCTAAATTATATCTTTTGTTTCCAAACGTTAGTATGCTGGATATAAGCAATAATCAATTAAAGGAAATACCTCAAAATATTTATGAATTGAATAATTTATCTGTTCTGAACATAAGTGGTAATACTGAAATTGTTGAATTGCCTCCACAAATGGGATTACTTTCTCGTTTATGGAATTTAAATACTCAAGGTTGTCGATTGCAGGAACCTTTGAAAACAATGATAGAATCTAAAAAATATAAAACAATGGACGTTATAGGATATTTAAAATCAATTCTTGAAGATGCGAAGCCTTATGCTCGAATGAAGCTAATGATTGTAGGAATTCAAGGAATTGGAAAAACAAGCTTATTAGAACAATTAAGACAAGAAGGTGAAGTTCCAAATAAAAAGAAATCATCAGAGCATTGGGCTAAAAGAATGGGTAATAAAAATATAAATGCTAAGACTGCCAGAGGAACAATCATATCTACTGTTGGAGTTGATATCGGAGATTGGATATATGAGAAAAAAATAAGAACACAATCTTCGCATGGACCAGTTTACTTTAGAACATGGGATTTTGGTGGACAAAGAGAATATTATGCCACTCATCAATATTTTCTTTCAAAGCGTAGCTTATATTTGGTTGTATGGAGGATAACTGATGGTTTTAAAGGTGTTTCTGAAATATTTCAATGGCTAGTAAATATTCAAAGTAGAGCTCCTAATTCTCCTGTAATCATAGTAGGAACGCATTATGATATGTCATATGATCATAGTGAAAAGTTACAACAATATATTCGCGATAAATTCATTAATGTTGTTGATGCTGAAAAATGTGGTTTACCAAAAGTAATGGAAACAGTTGAAGTGAGTAGTAAAACAAGGCATAATATAAAAATGCTATGTAATTTAATCTATGATGTTGTTTTTAGTTTAAGATCTCCAGGAAGTAAAGAATTATTATTAGAACAAAAAGTTCCTGCGAGTTATCTTGCGTTAGAGGATGTTGTAATACAACTTGCTCATGACAGAAAATTAGCTGGTGTAGATCCTGTATTAAAAGCTGAACAATATTATGCTGCAGTAAATAGTGAACTTCAAAAATTACATAGATCATTTAGGGATCCAGCAGAATTACATCAAGCAACTCTTTTTCTTCATGAAAATGGAATTATCTTACATTATGATGATGCTACGCTAAAAGATTTATATTTTCTTGATCCACAATGGCTCTGTGATATGCTTGCCCATGTGGTTACAATAAGAGAGATTAATCCTTTTGCTCGATCAGGTATAATGAAATTAGATGATATTCAACATGTTTTTAAATCTTCAACCATATCGTCAATTGATACTCAAGGATACATTGTAAGTCTTCTGAACAAATTCGAAGTTGCATTAACTTGGGATTATCGTACTTTACTCATACCATCCCTTTTACCAACTGAAGAAGATGTTTTAAGAAACAATCAAATTATTAAAATTCCAGTAAAATCACGAAGTTGGTATACGCGTACTAAAAAAATCACATCGCCTATGATTACTTGTCTTAATGTAGCAGGAGAGAAAGCTAATTCAGAATGTGTATTAACTTCTAGATCACAACCTGACTGTTCTGTAACAAGACTACTTCTCATGTCTTATTTTCCTAGTGGCTTTTGGTCTAGGCTCATAACAAGAATTTTAGCCGATGATGCTATTGTTGAGATTGTTATGTCTTTTTTAGCTCCTTTTAAAGATTTTGTTGATGACAATATTTTTGCAAGCTTATTGGATATCCAAGCAGAATGGATTTTATGGCAGACTGGAATAGAATTACGTTATGCTGGAATTACTTTATTGCGTTTAAAAGAAGTTAATTATAATTTAAAAAATTCACCTTATGACTATAGACAATTTAAATTTAAATTAAAACAAGATGGTATATGGTGTACAGTTGATTTGAAAAATTCTGCTATTTTAGAAATTTGGTTTCCCGTTGACACACTTGTTATTAAGCAACCAATCATGTCAGATTCCATAGATGATGAACCTGTAGGATATCAAGCGATTGCAGTAGAACCACGACCAGAAAGTGTACCGCAAATGTTAGCTTTAATAGTTGATCACATTGATATTTTATTAGAAGATTGGTATCCAACTTTAGGTACACGTTTTGTACATACCTCTGAAGGTAAATTATTAGTTACAAGGCTGATTCCTTGTCCTCGATGTTTGCTTAGCAACATAGACTATGAAAGTGACATACATGATAATAATGATCATTTAACCGAAGATATTCATAAATATTATATAAATCGTGAGAGACAAAGTCAAGATAGTTACAAATCTGATGGAGATAGTGGTGTAGGATATGATAGTTTAACATCAAGTAGAATGTCATCATTAGAAGGACATCCCGAAATATCAAGACAAAACTTTCCTTTAGAAGCTATACTTACATATTCTTGGATGGTTGAGGAATGCATTCTTGCAGCTTACAGTAATAAACCAATTAGTTGCCCCAAGCATTCGGATATACCACTCTCACATGTAGCACCTGATATTATTTTCATGGATTTAGGTGTTAAACATTTAATAAGATCAGAAGAAATTAAACGAGGGAAATTATTAGGAAGAGGTGCATTTGGTTTCGTTTTTAAAGGCGTTTGTCGTCTTCCTGGTACACATGTTAAAGCAGATGTTGCAATTAAAATGTTACAACCTGTTCCACCAGGTCCAAATTCAAAACAATCTGCCATTCTTGCATATAAAGCTGCACAGAGTAAATGGGATAGGGATCCTCTTCAATATGCATGTAAAGCATATTGTACAGCTAGACAAGAACTAAATATATTATTGACTTTAAGACATGCGAATATTGTACCATTAATAGGTATAGTTATCAGTCCATTAGCTTTAGTATTAGATCTGGCACCTGCAGGAGCATTGGATAATGTTTTAAAAAATTATAGAAGATCAGGTGCTAAATTGGATCCATACACTCTGCAAGCTATAATTCTTCAAGTGGCAAAAGCTGTAGAATATCTTCACCAACAACACGTGATATACAGAGATTTAAAATCTGAAAATGTTTTGGTATGGCAAATGCCATTGCCATTTCAAGATTATCCAGAGCATCCAGTACATGTAAAAGTAGCTGATTATGGTATATCTAGATTGACATTACCTACTGGAGCTAAAGGATTTGGAGGAACAGAAGGTTTCATGGCTCCTGAGATTATAAAATATAATGGAGAAGAAGAGTATACTGAAAAAGTAGACTCATTTTCTTTCGGCATGTTTATATATGAATTAATAACTTTAAGACAACCATTTGAAGGACATGAAGCAGTTAAAGAGTGCATTTTAGAAGGTGGAAGACCTCCATTAACATACAGAGAAACTTTTCATCCATGTTATGCTCTTGACTTAATGGTTATTTGCTGGGCTCAAAATCCAAAAGATCGACCAACAGCTAGTCAAATAGTATCTATCGCATCAGCACCAGAATTTACTCATTTAATAGACGTTATATTATTGACAGAAAGAACACAAGTCACAGCTGTTACTATGACAAATACAATTGCGGAAGAAAATATAAATGGAGATGAAATTTGGTTTGGCTATAATAATGGTGAAGTGGATATGTTAATAGGAACACAAAAGGGGTGGTTACGACATATAAGGATTGAAACACCAATAATACCATATGCTATGTGTGGAGTAGATGGTTATATATGGATTGGAGATAATACCGGACAAATACATGTATACTTAGAAAATAATTTTGGTTGCGTAGCTAGTTATCATCTTGAACCGGATCATCACAAAGAATCAAAAGTAGTAGGTTTGATATATTTGGAGCCATTAAAACAATTTGCTATAGCATTACATAGTGGTAAAACGTTTCTTTTGACAAATTCATTTACACAAATGAAAAAAACAGAAATTAGTAATGATGTAAATGATAATATAAAATCATATTCTATAGCAGCGGTATATAAGAAAAAACGTATATTAGAATTATGGATGGGTCAAAGTTTTGGTAGAATAACCATTTATATATTAAAAGATTCTAATTTAATTGATACAATTCAAATTTCACATGTAACTGGAGATACAGCTATGAAAAATTTATTTGCTACATATTTATTAAGCGCAGAACATTCAATTTTATCATATACCTATCCTGGATGTATTGTTTATCAATGGGACGTTGACTCTAGACAAATAATAAATAAATTAGATATGTCTAAATTAGTCCCTTGTTCGGAAAGTTTTAAGTCAATCTCTATAGAAGAAAATCTTACTACAGAAAAATGTCAAATAACTGCTCTTGAATCATATATGAATCAACTTTACATTGGTACTACATGGGGTTGTATTGTTGTTGCTGAATGTAATACATTGAGGCCAATAACAGTTTTTAGACCTTTTGAAGGCAAAGTGTGTCAAATAATTTCATTTAAATCAACTGATAAAAAGAAGCTTATATTAGTAACAGTTGGTCAGGGATATAGAAGTTTAATATCACGTTTTACTGATTTTCCTTTAAATGGTACAGAAGTTGAAGATCTTAAGCATAATATGTATACTCTTTTATGGAGATCTGAACATTGGTCTGCAGCTTGATTCTTTCTTAAAATATTATATCATTTTTTTTATTGATAGGTAAAATGTGATTATAGTTACTTAAAAATGTTTAAAAAATAATATGCAGATATTGCTAAAAATGCTGCATGATGCAAGATTAGGATAAAAGTATTATTAATAAGGAAATAAAATTTGTCCATTTTATATTATATCCTATAGATAAGGAGCTTTGTGCAGCTTGCCTCGTTCGCGTAAGAACTTCCTTTAACAAATAGATTTGGGAGGTCCATGCTTAAATATGTACAAATTTTAAGGTGCTTGATAGAAGTAATTTTTAAAATATTAAAAAAGAAAAATCATTTGTATTCTCACATATTTGCCAAACAATTTTGTATATTTATTCATAAAATTAGGTGAATCTACAGCACTGTAATATAATTAAAAAATGATGAATTGTTAAAAGTTATTTAATAATTAAAATACTATACATTTTTCCTAATGTATTTAAATATATTAACTAAAATGATCTCTAAAGTAGAAAATACGAAATATTTCACATTGTCCAAAATATTTAAATCACATGCTTCATGAATATCACATTATACTCTAATGCATATTAGAAACATATTCCTTCCAAACCTAATAGCAGGGTTACAAATTTAATATTTTTGTAGAAGAATGGTGATATTTTAAATAGAATATTATTTATGTGTGTGTATATATAAAACAATAGATACAGTATACTCATTTAAACTCATTTAATTTATATTACTTTAATCTGTAATAAATAAATGCATATAATTAAACAAAATCTTACTTAATATACCTTTTTATATTGCTATTTGAATTTAGAACTTCACCATTTTTCTACAAAAATTCTGTATAATAAACATTTAGGTTGTACACTAATGCAATATATTTATGTACTTGTATACCTCAGTCTGTTAATTAAAATGAAAATTCAAATTTAACACAAAATCTGTATGAAGGCTAATCTTAATATAGTAAGAAAATATAATATTACATTTCGTAGAGATTAATGATTGAGCATAATGTATATGCTTGAGTATGCGTTAATCATAAAAAAAAAACCCAAAAATGAGAATTATGAAATACATTCTATGAATATTTTAAACTGGCAGCTCTTCCAATTTGTATGTTATGCTCTGGAAATGACTGATTCCAATCTTTATATAAATAATACTTCAGAGAATTCTCTTTATATCATATATTAGAACTAATAAACATCATCCGGCCATGTATCATTACAAGTACCATATTTCAAATTATATACATTTTTTTGCCTTTTTGAAAGTAATATCCAATGTTATTTTACTTATATATCATAATTCTTTACTCGTTGAATGTAGCTTTATTTTTATAAATTAGTTATCAAACATATAATGTGCACTCTTAATAAAGCTATTAAGAAAGTGATATAATAATATTAGAAAAATCGATAGTAGAAAAACAAAATTAGATTTTGAGACATTACTGCTTTATCATTTTAGAAATTCTTCAATAAAGTTATACTTAAAAATTGCAGCTGACATAAAAATTTGAATAAAGCATGTAATAAAAAATAGAGTACTGTTTACTAAAGTTAACATTTATAATTATATTTATAGTTGCAGTTAACACATTTGTTCTATTATTTCTTTTAAGTATGAATTGTATAAAAAAATATCAATCCGTGAGATTTTTTATGTTGTATAATAAGATTTTTATTGAAGTAGTAACAGACATTTTATCTATCTCAATATTGTCATAAAAATAAAAATAAATTTATAAGTTATTATTATAAACTATTGATACACATGTAAAATGTTGAAAATCATCAGCCTCGTTATAATGTAATGCAACATTGTAAATATTTTTGTAGTATTATATGGCTTTCAATATATTTATTATATATTGTGCTATTGTGTATTACTATTGGTAATACATTTAATATAATTAGAATTAATATTAAGTATTGTAAATTTAAGTCTTAAAGCATTTTAGGAATATTATTTATTTAGTTATTATATATATATATATCACCTAAGCAGCTATTTATCTATCTTTATATGCATTTATGTAATTATTTTTAACGTTTTGGTTGTTTTTAGAAGTAGACAAAAATTATCTATAACACAAGTTATAAGTAATATAAACTATACCTAGTTTCGTGTTAAATAACACAAATGGAATAAATGGTTGATTATTTAATTAAAAGAAATTCTTGGACCCTTGTAATTAGTAATCAAAAGCCTAGTATATAAACTATCGTAAGACATTCTCTGTATCATTAGGCTATATATAAACAAATTTTTTACATCACGTTATACAGGGTGAGTAACAATAGAATTATGTCTATATCTTTTTGAATACAAATAAAAGAAATGGTAAAGAATAAAGTTGAAGACTATAAAAATATTTACTTTTCTATGAAACTACGTTTTTCATAAGTATAATAATGTATTAAAAAGTGCAATTGCAAATTGTTCAAATGAAATTACATGACTGATTTCATGAAAAAAATAAATTCATAGAACAATAAACATTTTTATACCCATCAACTCAATCTTCTATAACTTTCTTTTTATTTTCATCCGAAAAACGAATATAATCGTCTTTGTTTCGTAATTATTCTATCTATAGACACAAATGTTCGTACAGATATATAATGATTAAAAGAAACCTTAATATTAAATTTAAATTAAGGAATTGTATTTAATAACTTTGTTAAATCTGACATTGTATGCAGTATTAATAATACAAATGTAACTAAAAAATTACATATGTATCTGTTATCTTTCAATATATTGACTCTAAAAGTACAAAATCTCAAAAGAAAATCAATTGTTAACATTTAATATAATATAAATATCGATTTATATATAATATTTATGAAAAATACTGTATTTACATATATCAGCTCTAACAAGTAACAAATTTGGAATATTTTATAGAATTCTTTTACATTATAAATCAATGAAAGTAATTTTTCTAAACCATTTAATTGTTTAAAGTTAATAATTAAAATCATGTAAAACTATTAAAACTTGTATTCAAACAAACATTAGTACTTAAATTTGATATAAAACACAATAATATACAATATTTAATTAATCACAATTTTCGATTCCTCATGTCTATATATCGTTCTTAAACCATTGCACAATATATCAAATATAAACAAATGCTTAATTGTTTCTTTTACGTAATTTTCCATATATTTTTCTAATTTATTTCTTCATTATAAGTTCTTAATATATTTAGTTATGGATATTTATAGGTATATATACAATCTTAATTAAAAAAGAATAATTGTAAATTTGTACAAACTTGACATTTAAAAGATTAATGTCTACATAATATTATCAAATAAGTATTAGTATTAAAATGATTATCAAAAATTTACACATAATTCTGTTTGTTGGACCTTGAAATATTAGTTCACATATTTACAAAACATGCGTTTATACAAGTTAGATTTATACAAACTTACAAAAATAATTTATTCCACTGTTTATGATAAATTATGTTTATAAAAATGAACCTAATTAATAATATATTCCTAACAAACTAATCAGCTCGTGCAATAACTTGAGAATGAATTGATGTATTCTTTTCATAAATATAAACTTGTGTTAGTATCGCGATGTCTATTAGAATTTGAAGAGCACCACATACTTCAAACTGAACTGGAGCTTCTCGCAGTATAAAATAACAAGTCTTAAAAAGATCACCCAGTGTCCACATACTAACCATCGTTATACTAAAATTACAAAAGAAAATTATAAAACAAAAACAATTGTATGTTTAAAATATATTTATCATTTTGTTACCTCATTCCACTCGTAGATTTGTTATAAAAATTACGTAAAAATTGTGGTACTCCAAGCATTGCCTCTATTAATACTGCAAGGAAACCTACGATTTCTACAAATATTGGTACATCTATAAACCAATACATTAATATTCCACCTATAATAGCAAATAACAGCATAAAATCCAAATAAGATTGGAAATCTGTCCATTTCCAAAAGAATCTTGTCTCCAAATCTATCCAAATGAATTATTTCTATTAAAGAATTAATTAATTAAGGGTTTTTTTTTTCTTTCGTTAGATTAATTATAAAAATGATATACCTGTAAATACTCGTTCTTTTAATTTAATTATTTGACTTTTATTATGTACATTGACAGAAAGCTTGATCATAGTAAACATTGTAATGATCATTATAATACTTTGAATTAAAAGAGGTGTCTCATAATGTTTACCAAACCTGCAAGAAAGATTAAATTAGTAAAGAATACAAAAGAAATGACATTATAGTCGAAACTAACCAAAATAAAATGCGGAGAGTGTTTGCAATTAATAATGTCAGGCAAACATATAAAGAAAATCCTTCAGCATCTCTTTTTCTTTTAATTTCTCTATATTGTGGTATATACGGTATAATACCACCAAATATTATTGTTAAGGATGCAACATAACTAGTTACATCTTTGACAGTCAATTGTTCGTAATTATCATTCATTCTTAAGATAATTTATTTTGTAACCATGATATAAATACTTGTACATTCACTTATTATACATATCTACATATTAATCTGACGTATTCCTTACGTGATAAGTCACGATGATTTAACACGTGTGCAAGCATTATAAATATATACAATACAAATATTTCATATTTTAAATATTTTAAAAAATAATTATTTTGTTATATATCATATAGATTTTATAATTTTTTAGAAGTCAAATAAATTATATATACAATATATATATATATATAAACTTATGAATATATATATATATACTCATAAGTATTTTTTAAATATAGTTCTTTTGTCCATACTCTTTGCGCATGTTTTCTGCGCATCTTTATGCAGAAGGCCTATATATAGATATATATATATATATGTATAATATGTGTTTTATGTGCATATGTGTATATACTTATCATTAACGCGACATTATGTGTGAAGCTAAAAGAGAATTTAAAAAGGTTAAACACTGCAATAGTAGCATTCATTTTTTCTAAGTTTGATTTTTCATTCAAAGTTTATATATTATGATCAAATTGAAACACAAATATTAACTGGATATTTATAACCAACTATATTGTGTGTGAGTTTTTTAAAAACATTATTTTAAGTCTACAAAATATCATTTTATTTTACAAATATATTTATAAAATGTCTTACTATTATGAATTGATAAGTGAAAAATTTTGATTTATAGCTTATGCAAATGTTTTGTAAACGGTAGAAACAGTTTATGTATCGTTTGTGACTATTAACAAATTTCTACTACATAATAATGGAAAATAATATGACAGAAGAACAAAAAAGATTTGTAGAAGAATGTGAAATTGAATTTAAAGACCGTTTTACCGAAAATGATATTGAATTTATGAAAATTAAAAGTGCATCACCAAAAAAGCCACCAATTATAGATCCCTGGTATACTAAACCACGTAGACAGCCATATTTCTGGGATCAACAAAATCAGGGACATGGAAGTCGCAATCATAATTGGGACCGTGGTAGTCTTGAAAGAGGTGATAGATTAAGTCGTCATGATGGAAAACATTATATACACAATCACAATACAAAGCCATATTAAAATCAGCGTATTACATCTGTATACTTTCTTATCGTATATTTTGTATATACATGAATTATATCATAGATTATAAATCAAATATAATTTTTACTAATCTCTGTAATAAGAATAATACTGCATTAAAATCAATAGAGAAATATATAACTTTTTCTTTGATACTTAGAAGGTGAATTATCGTCTAAATTATTATTTATTTTTAAAAGCATATATAACTAACTAATTGTAGATCCATGGTACAATAAACCACGCAAGCACTCATATGACCAGAATCAACAAAGCTCGAGACATGGAAGCCGCAATCATAATTTGGACCGTAGAAGTTTTGAAAGAGGTGACAGATTAGATTCTAATGATGGAAAACATTATGCACATTATCATAATAGGAAGCTATATTAAAATTAGCATATTACATCTTTACTTTTTATCATATATTTTGTACATATATTATACATTAATTATGTCAAAAATTATAAATCAAATATAATTGTTACTAATATCTGTAATAAGAAAAATATTACATTAAAATCAATAGAGAAATACATAAATTTAACCCTGATGTTTATAAAGTGAATTATTAACTTTTCATTTCTTTTTATACATTTGCAAATGCTTGAAACATTAATAATGAACAATCTTCTTCTAAGATTTTCAACATAATTTTTTCATTTGCATGAATAAATAAAATAGATCCTTTTTGAATAATTTGTGATGTATGAATTTCGGCTTTACCATTTATAACAATTAATATACTAGCTGATCTTCTTGGAATCAATTCATACTTCATTTTATTACATGGTATCTGAAAGTAAATTCATAATGATAAAAAGTATTTCTTTAGTAACATGATGTAATATTTAATTGTTCAACAAAAAACTTACTAAAATTTTCGCTACTGCAAAATCTGGCACTGGAGGCTGAAATATCTCTGTATAATTATCTTCATAGTAACCATGAAACTTCTTTGCAAAAAGTGGCTCACATTTATATGTTAATATTTCTGTTAATGTTTCTACATCTTTCAACTTTGGTGTTAATCCAGCACGCACTACATTATCAGAACATGCCATACATTCTATACAATCTTGAAATAAAAAATATTTTAATAGATTTATTTAATTACTGGTTCACATGCATATATTATTAATACATACCACCATATATATATGCATGTGGTTCATTTGGAGCAAGATATAAAGCCTCGCCTTGTTGTAAAGTAATATAATTAAACATATATATACCAAAACATCCAACATCTCCAGGATAATCTAAATAAAGTTTTTGCAACAGATCAGCGTTCAATATTTGTTGAGATGATATATCTATAAATATTGAACAATCAATAAAACTCATAACCAATGCAATACATAATTACAAATGTACTTTAAATATTCAAATTTACCTAAATGTAACAATCGTTCCAATAAATGTTCAAGTTGTAGTGTTACTAAATTATGGTCACACATCATAAGGCTACGAAAACATTTTTTTAAAGGTTCTATATTTTCTGAATCATTTATTATCATACATTCATGAACTAAATCTTCACCAATTACTGCTCGTAGTTCAGGAAGTAATTCTAAATATTTTTTTATCTCTTCAATTGGACGAAAACCACAAAGCGCTTCAAATTCTGTTAATGCTATCATTAATTCAGGTTTGTGATTAGAATCCTTATAAATTTCAGGATAACATAAATGTAATTCCTCTGCTTTTTTCTGTAATTTAATATATTAGAATTAAAAAATAATTTAAGAATATAAATATAAATATATATATAGATTTACCTTATCCGGATGTGCTTGAATAGATAATGCTTTTCTTACGGATAAAACTTTAAAGAGAAAAGGTAAAGATGATTGAAATTTTTTTTGTACTTCAGAACCTAATATATTTGTATTTTCTTGTATGTATTTTTCTAAAGAAACATCTGTTTGCTTCAAATATGAAGGCCCATTAGAATGCGTACCCATCCATAGTTCTGCGTATGGTTTTTCTTCACTTATTATAAAATTAGGGTTAGCTGTTTTAATTAATGATGCAACCATACTGTTTGTACCATATTTACCCCAATCATAATTTTGTACTGCACATACTAGTTCACACATTTTTTGTAATATATCTGTAAATTATATACAGTAATCAACTATATAGTGAGGAGTAAATTAGCCATCAGTTTTTATTTTAATTTTATTAGATATGACATATTTACACACTTAAGATATAAAATTTATCATTTTTATTAGCACAGATTTAAACGCACCATAGTCCATTCCACTTGAATTTACGACAGTAACGCTCGTAGGTAAGTGGAACGGGAGAAACTGTGGTCGTGAGCGTGATCGTTGTGAGCGCTTAGTGGAACGCACCCTATATCAATGAAATATTTATGATAGCTTTTTTAGACTTACCAAAAAAAGATAAAAAATTATTTATTGTAAAATTCGATCATCGAGTTAAATGAAATACAATAAGCATTATGAATAAGGTAAATATATTTATAATGCCAATTCTATTATTGGAATCAATACATTTTATCGTTAATCTTTATCGATTAATTCGTATTGATATTTATTTTTTATTGCCATCTCTGCCTATATAAATATTATCCTATAGAATAAAAGAAATTTCATATTTTATACTAACATAAAAATTCTATGTTAGTTTTTTTACTCTTTTAAATGAAAATAAAAATTGTTTTATACATTTTAGCAATAATTAACTTCTTATTTAACAAATGTGTTTATATATGAATTTATGATACGTGGACAGCAGTCATATGTATATGTATATATAAGATTTTATGTAACTAGATGGCGTTGTCAAAATAGAAAATGCATCTAACTTCATAAGATAATCTAAAATGCATATTAAAAATTGTATTAAAATTTAAGATCGACATTTATGTAAAGTGAGTAAACTTTAACGTATATATATATATATATACGTATGTAAAATATATATTGCATAACTGACAAAGTTTATTTAAAAGAAAATTGAAAGTGATATTTTATAAGTAATGGACATTGCATAAATATGAAACAAGTCGTAGATACCAAAACTAATTCTGGATCAACAGGAGAAGCTGACGAGTGTTTGTTTGAATATCTGCATGCTGAAATAGTTAATTACGTTTTAAGTTTATCATTAAATACAAAGGTAATAGTTGCATAGTTTAATAATATACAATGCTGAATAATGTTTGGTTATTAAATATGAAATGTCCGATTTCGAATTGAAAGTACAGATATATTTTACAAAGAAGTTAAGTAAAGAGTATTTCTTTTCGATATATTTATAGAAAATGTTATAGGAAAATTATTTGCGTCAATAGAATATTACGTTATTGTTTGAGCAACTAAATGAATTGAGTGGCAAGTAATTTAAACGTATATACTTTTTCTAACAGGAAGGTAAGGAAGATCTATCTCGATTGGAATGGATGGGATTTAGTGTTGGATATAAAATCATTGAACGATTAACAAGAGAATGGAGTCGTTTCAAAGATGAATTAGATATGATTAAATTTATATGTACAGATTTTTGGTGCAGCTTATATCATAAGCAAATTGATAATCTCAGAACAAATCATCATGGAGTATATGTATTACAAGACAATGCATTTCGTTTACTAGATAAAGTTGGTACTAGTAATAGTAAACAATATCTTCCAGAAAGTCCACGCTTATTAGCATTTACATGTGGGTTGTTGCGAGGTAGTTTAGCAAATCTTGGCATCGTGAGCACAGTTACAGCAGAAACATCAACTTTACCAAGTTGCAAATTCCATGTTCAAGTACAAAGAGTTTAATATGTACAGCCAGACATTAATATGCATTTCATATAATGATTTATCACTGTATTATTAACATCAAATTTACACAATATGTAATACCTATAGTAACGAATATGAGTGCTATAATTAACATGAAGAGCATGTCAATTATATTCAAAATTTTCAATAAACTGTAAATGATGTAAAGAATGAAAATTTAACATATACAAGAATTAAATTAAATATGTAATTATTATATAACATTATAATTTATTGTCACTTATAGATTTATTAACTTTTGCAACTTAGTAAAAATAACAGAATAATTTGTAATTTACAAGCATCGATACAGATCTGACGTCTAATTCTTACTCTACTATGATATTATTTAACGTAATTTACATATGCTTACAATTCTTTATAATATTTATATTTATAATTTAAAAAATATAAAATTATAAAAATAACGATAAACACAAAATTATGTGGGTCCATTAGTTTGTATAATATTATCTTTGTTAGAAATAAAATTAACAATGTCAGAATGACTTACAATTCCAACCAAAGCATCATCGTTTATATGATCTACAACAACTGCATAAGTTTCATTTTCAAGAATTAATGCAAGTTTTACGAGAGTCATTGTAGATATAACTTTAACGAATTGTTTTATCATAATAGTTTCTATACAATCTGCTTGTTTAATTTCATCACATACTAGCTTATTCATTAGTACTTGCATTGTAAGAACACCTTTAACTTTTTCTTCATTATCAATAATTACAACTAGATTTGAATTTGTGGTTTTAAGAATATGAATAGCTTCTTGACATGTTGCTGTTTTGTATAATAGAGGAGGTTTAGCTATGGATAAAATTGAAATTGGATAGTTGCACCACCATTTATTTGATTCATCTGATGGTATGTCCTGCAATATAAAAAAAATTTTCTTTAAATTAATAAATTTGAAGTTGCAATCTATCTATAACATAATAACATAATATTGGTAATAAGTATTACCAAGAAGCCTCTAATTTTCATCCAATTGTCAGACACAAACTTAGTCATGTAATTTCGTATTCCGTCAGGTAGAACAACAACAACACGTTTTTTTGCAGGGATATCTTTTGCAATTTTTAAAAATGCAGACAGAGCAGAACCACTACTACCTCCACATAATAATCCTTCCTGTTTGATAAGCATACGTGCTGCATTTAGTGATTCACAGTCATTAACTTTTATCCATTTATCTACCACACTACGGTCCAACACAGTAGGTAGAAAGTCATATCTTAAAAAAAGAAATTACTTTAGTAAAACATTTATAAAATTTATGAATATTGATATACAAAATTTGTAATAATTTTATAAACAACATACCCAATTCCTTCTACTTCATAAAAACTAATATCATCCTTATTTAACTCTAATGGAAGTGCAAGAATACTACCAATAGGATCAACTGCAATGATTTTTACTTCAGGATGTAATTCTTTCAATTTGCGTCCAATGCCAGTGACAGTTCCTCCTGTACCTGCACCAATTATGACATAATCTAACTTTCCATCACATTGTTTCCAAATTTCCAACGCTGTCTGATCATAATGAGCCAGAGGATTCCCACTATTCGTATACTATATATATGAATAATATACTTATTTATTGAATTTTTTAATAATTTATCTTTCAACACATAGATGTCAAAAATATATTAACGTTTTTTTAATAGTAATATTTTAAACTTACTTGATCAAGAATAACACTATCAGGAATTTCTTTTTGTATTTTTTGAGCAATACTAATATGACTTTCAGGACTATCCCAAGCTGCTTCTGTTGGTGTTCTGATTATTTCGGCTCCAAGTGCACGTAGAGTTTGTACTTTTTCATTCGACATTTTTTCTGGCATAACAATAATACATCTATATCCTTTAACAGCTGCAACCATTGCTAAACCGATCCCCGTGTTACCACTAGTCGGTTCAATTATAGTAGAACCTGGCTTCAATATTCCTTTTTCTTCTGCATCTTGGATCATTCTATAAGCAATTCTGTCTTTCACAGAACCGCCAGGATTCATAAATTCACATTTTGCAACTAAAATATAATAATTAAATATTTCATAATAATTTCAATATACTAAGGGTTTAATTAGAATATAGATTATGTTATATTAAGTTATGTTTTACTTATGCGTATTCCTAATAAATCATTTGTGCGTATGAAATGTGAATACTTACATATTTCACATTCTAGTCCATGTGATTGAGGAATGTTATTCAAACGTACTAAAGGAGTTTGACCAATAGCTTCCAAAATGTTAGGCAATATATTATCACGATTTGAAGGTCTATAAATTTATAGCATTTTTAAAATTATAATTATTATATAAAAAGAAGTTTAAATTAACATATATAACTAATGAATAAAAGTATTTAAATATGTACGTACTTTTGTCTTACTGTATGAGGAGTATCTGTTGCATTTGCCTTCCATATGCAATGACTTAACCGGTTAGGACGTTTTTGCTCCATCACAAATCTCTATTTATGCATAGATAAATTTATTTAATCCATTATAATGTCTATACTTATAATTTGATATATAACAATTTAAATAAACAAAACTTTACATCAAATTTAGTTTTTACAAAAGAAGAAATTTTTATTTAATTACATGCATATATACAATTCTCCTTTTTATTATTTTAACAAAATATAATACCGTATTAATTAACTTTTAAATTACAATAATGTCATACAGTTATAATAAAAATAAAACTTGGATATAATATAAAAAGAAAAATGAAAAATTAAAATTCAATTTACCACGTTTTACTGGTTCTGTAACTGCCTTATTCTGAATAACGTCAGTGCTGCCAATTACTTAATATATAATCTATTCTACCAACACTTGAAAATTATTTTTTTTTGGAAATGATAAACAATTTTTTTTTTATTGAGAATTTAAAATAATAATATATAATGTTCTTAAACTTTGTAAAATAACGCTTTTCATATATACATTTTATGTTATTTGTTTTTATTCTTGCACTCTTGGATTAAAATTTCTTGCTTCTTAAATAGATACTCTTCATCTTCAATAGCTAACAAATTTTGTATAAGATTAATATTAAGATCAGTTATTTTTAAAATTTGATATTTACTTTCAATGATACGTGACACATCGATATAATTTTCATTATTTTTTTCGTATTTTATCATACAATAATATTTTGTATTAGATTGAATATAAAAGTAAAGTATGTTTATAAACTTAGTTTCTTCTTTGTAAGTATTATGGTCATGATCAAATGGATTTTTAACTGATGAAGATTGCTTGTTATGAAATTTATCAAGACCTATGAACTGTCTTATAAATTCTATGTTATCATTTAGATAAAAATAATTAGATGACGATATATAATACACTATTTCTAAGAGTAGTTGTTGATATATAATTTCATTGTGTTCACACATCATTTTATCATCATAGATACTAGATAAAATATGATTTTGTACAATTGTACTAACTGAATCACGTATCTCATAAATATGATTCTTCAATAATATAAGACAACAATGCATCATTAACAATTTGTTTTTATATTCTACTTCCGAAAAACGTTGAACAAAAAATTGAAGACATTCAAATACTTCATTTTGTACATATTCATTGTCGCTAAGACTCATATTAAAAATTGTTGATAATATTTTATATATGACACTCTCATCTTTACAAAATATTGCTATTAATATATGTTTTAAGTGCAATGCATTAATAATTGAAATATTCATATCAAGTTTTGTAATTAAATTCAGAGCTACTTCTTCTAATTTTAATTCATAAATATCGTTTAACAGTGAATTTTTAAAAGTTGTAATTATAAATTTGATCATTGCATTAATGACTAATTCATTACCATTATCAGTTATAGATAGTAAGATATGTAATATATTTTTAAGAATTGGAGTAAAATAATGCAAATGAGATAAAAAATTAATAGTTTGATCTGTATATTTAGAATGAATAATTTTATCAATGACTTTCAAATTAAATGTATTAGTAGATTTAATATGATCTGCGTATAAATATGTTAGAATATCTGTGAATTGATAAAAACTCGGTTTTATCTTTTCAATATGTAATACATTTAAACTATCTAATATAATTTTATCAAATAATTCGATATTTAATGGAAATGATTTCAAATTAAATAATTCTATGAGCATGCACTCTATAGTATAGCATATTTGTTCATTATTTTTAAATTTTAACTTATTATTCCAGATCTTCATAATATTTTCGATTCTATATTCATTGATGTATTTTCCTTCAGGAATAGGAATTGTTGATTTCATTATTTCACATGAATTTATGCTTTCTGCTTCGACTAAAAATTTCTCTTTTAAATATTTTATAGTAAGTAAATGTCCATGTATCATATTAACATTTTTCATTAATGAAATATTTAATTTCAATATTTCGATTTCCGATTTAATGCATGAAAATGCAGTTAAAGCTGCATATGTTTTTGCAGTAAGTAGTCTAACATATTCTATAGGATTAGCCAGAAGTTTGGTTAAACAACTTTTCAGTTCTTTTACAAAATCATATGATAAATAATCAATGAAATCACAACCACTAATTGAAAACTTAGAAAGTAGTATAAGAATATGTACAATATTTGAATACTCATGTAATATGATGTTAGAATTTTCTGATAATTGTGAAAAAATCTGAAGCTGTTCTGATATGTGTTTTGTAAGGATTGGATAGTGACTGACGAAATGATTAATATGATATCCATTTCCAAAATCTAAAGTTGTTCCACCAATATTTTGTCCTACCAAACGTGGAACTAAAGAACCAAATAATTGAAGACTAGCATTCCTGAAAATTCAATTTATTAATATTAATTTCATATTATTAATTATAATAACGATTTTAAGAAAAAACATATGATGTGTAATTGTATACCTGATTAGCCAAATTTCTGATCGTAAATATCGGAAACATACTAAAGAAATACGTTCCATATATGATGTTAATTGTACATGTAAATCTTTATCGGTTACTAATGCACGTAAAAAAAGTAAATGTCTTACTAATGGAAGATCATATTTATACTCAATATTTTCAAATTGAGTTTCAGAAGAGTTTTCTAAAGAATACAGTAATTCTTCTATAGCAAAACATAAAAGAGGTCTTTCTTTACGAGCATCACTCGATACAATTTTATGAAACATCAACGAAAATCCGGCACCGCGTCGAGTTATATTCAAAGTATTCATTGTTTTATCTTCTAATAAATTTTTCACATACATCTTTAATGTTTCAGCATAACTATCTTGTTTACTTATACATCTAAAATATCATATATATTATTAACAGTTATATCATAAATTGCAGCAAATTATAATGAATAAAATACCTCACTAAATTGCCAATAGCTACTCCAGCAGTTTCGATTGCTCCTCTATGCCGACATTTCATCAATACCATTGTAATTAATTTAATTGCATGTAAAGTAATTTCATTAGAATACATACAACTGCCTATATTGCTAGCTATTTCACAAGAAATCTTCAGAGAAAATATAATTTGTTAATTAACTTTATAAATAAATATATATAAAAACTTAATTTAAAAATAATATACCTTCAAGGATAGCCAAATGCAAGATATAATAACTTGATGTGCAGGTGATAGAATGAGATCGTCATAATTATCATCATTTATTGTGCTAGTTTTAATTGTATCATTAATTGCTAATCCCATTTCTTCGAAAGATGATGCATATTCTGAAAAATATAAATATAAATTCGAATGATCTTATTTCATTATAATATGTAAAATTATAACGTATTACTTGTAGTTGTAGATTTTGATGAAAATATGGATAAGAAAAAAGTTATAGCATCATCTAAGAAATCCATTAATTTTTTGATAAAATTTAAAGGAGGTGTACAGTTTTCCTGATCACGTTGAAAATTTATATTAAGCATGGCAGTAAGGATACCATAATAAGATCTATTATGAACAATTGCTTTTAATATATCTTCTTTCATTTGTAGTAATTGTTTTTTTGCTTCATATAAAAAGAATTCATAATAACTATTGCACAAAGCACTTTCTTCACATTTATCAGTAATAAACTCTGTATTAAAAGGCTCCCACGTTGAAAAAACTTTCATCAATGCTGCTCCACTATCCACTTCATAAAATTTTGACGAATTACAATGTCTTATCGCCACATTAAATATTACCTAGTAATAGATAATTATTAAATTAAAATATTATCACATTTTATTACAATGTTTAAAAAAAAACTTAAATAACAAATCAAAGCTCTTACTTTCTTTTCTATATTCGTTAGAACATCTTTCTCAAAATAATTGATAATAATGTAAGTTGATATTTGTTTTATATCAAATGCACTATTTTGTATTAGCTTTAAAAGGACCAATAAAAATGTCTTATTTGTAAATTTGCACATTATATCTTTTTTTACGCATTTGTTATCAAATATAATAAGGGAATCATGTTCTTTTTTAATTGGATGTTTACAAGAATATGTATCAGTTACAGAAAGAACAATTTTATATAAATTTAAACCGAGAATTTTACGTTGATAACTAGAACCAGGTTCAAAACAGTCTAATAAAAATGTATGTAGCCAATCCATTATCTCACATGTTTGATTATAATAAGCATTTTCACTTATTTTTAAAGCGCTTGTATAAAATATTTTAAAGTATTTAGTTATTTCATCTCTTAGGAATATTGATGTGGTATTTGCATTATACCATAAAAATTGTTTTATTATAATTGAGTTATTAATTTGATCTTCATTCAGTAATTTACTGAATTGATAACAGTAAATTGCAAATCCATTTAATCTTATAACTTCATTTTTGTGACGTATATAAGAAATAATGTCAATGTCTTGTGGAAAAGTGACATACATTTCGCTAGTAATCCTTTGTAAGTGTGAATGAAAACATGGTGCTGCTAAATCCTTACATAATTCCCATAAATGCAATATGATATTTTTGTATTTTGCTATAGTCGGTTCAAGCCAATATTTACAAAGCGATTTAAGTGCATTATAATTTTGTCTGAAATACATTATAAATTAAATTTCAATGGAAAATAAATAGTTATTAAAATAGTATACATTAAAACGGTAATATATCATATATTTAATATATTTACTTCGGTCCTATGTCCCATTGACAAATGAGATATTTTATAACAGTACTGAATGATTTTTTCCAGTCTTCTTCAGTAAGTCTGTTTAGAATATTCAAATAAAGTTTTGCACCACAACGACATAAGTGATTTTTTGTTAATGAAGTACTCAAGTTCAATAAAAAATTTTCTGATATTATTTCTGTAATTCTACATTTTGACATATAAAAAATTTCTGCTAATATGATATATTTTGTTTCGTTTTGCCATGAGAAATTATCAACACTATTAAATATATATTCCAAAAATCCACTATATTTTTTTGTCATTATTTTCAAATATATATTAAAAATGTGTGTTGTATTCCGTTTACTAATTTCACTAATTGAATTATGCCAATTTGAAAATATAATCATTTCTAGCTGCTGTTCTATTAATAAAGTGTTCGTATTCCAAAAATCTACGTATACTGATACATTTAACCACATATTAAATATTTTGTATGCAAAATATGAATAAGGGGTATATCGTGTGCAATGAGGGTAGAAAATGTTGAACATAATACATAATATATTATTGGAATATATATTTTTCTGATTAACTTGTAAATAGCCATATATAATGATCAACTTGAACAATTCTAGATGAATTATTTTATATGTCTTATTATTAAAAAATAATTCAGAGGAATGTACTTCTAAAAAATATGTTAAACATCTTTGCAGTGATTCAGGATCAGATTGAGCTGATTGTAATATGAAAAATGCATGAGATGCTAATAAAACCCATTCTTTGCCTATATCTTGATTATTAGCCAATGCTTCCATTATATTTGATAATATTAATTGCCATTCTTCTGTATTCTTTTTATTCGATGAATTCTTTAATAAATAATTAAGTGTTATTAATTTCTGAAATAAAAAATTAAATATTCTTATTAATATAGTATTCTAATATTTTTTATTAATTTTATTAACAAATTGTATATAATGTAAATAAATTATTAAGAAAATATAATACAAGTACTAACTTTATAAGTAGGGACATTTTCTTTGCATATCTGTAACTCTTGAAGTATATTAGAGAAATCCATTGTATTATACAATTCCTGACTCCTTTTAATATATGAATCATGCACTGGAGACTTTGCTAATAATTTTATTTTTCAAAATGATCAGTACACTCCTTATATATGTAAATTAAAGAGAATATAAATGCTATTACACTATTCTATTTATCAGAATGATTTTTTTGTTCTCGAAAATTAAAAACTCATTATTCAGCGACACATTTTATTAACATATCTAATTTTTATTTGTAGAATATTTTCTTTTTATTTAGAGACATCTCCTGTAATATAGGAAAAAAATACTCTTTATTAGAATTATTATTTATTATCAATTAAAAATAATCGTATCAAGTTAGACAATATTATTTTGTAGATAGATATCACAAAAAATAATATATAATAATAGTTAGAAATGAGTGGATGATTTAATAAAATGTACAGATATTTATAAGTATCTATTTATTATCTTTATGAGCTATGAAAATGGTAACAAATAAATAATAAACTTATTACACATAGATACATTTTTTTTGTATAAATTATAATTGTTCTATTAAAGAGATGTCCGATTTTTTTCTTCTGGAACATATCCTTCTAGCTCCAAACGTTCTTTAAACTTTATATATTCCCTTTTACGATCAAAATGTTTCACCTGATCAATAGTAATTGATCTTAAATTATGGATAAAGAAACGAAATAAGAAATATATATCTTAATTATCTACTATAAGAACTTACCCATTGAGAAGGACAAAATTGTTCATATTTTTTTCTAAATTCATTGCAATCAGTTTCTGATTTTGATTCATCTAAACATTTCCAATACTCATCTCTATGATTCCAACAAACAAACCGGTCTTCTTTATTTGGAAATGACATTCTGTAAAGTAATATTTTATATAATACTATATCCTTATAACTTAGTAATTAAATTAATATGCCTAAAGTAAATTTTTAAAAAAGAATATTTATGAAATGATTGAAAAAATTTATAGGTGAAATACTTACCTATAAGATTCGCCTGTATATAAATATTTATTTTTATCAATAATCACCCACTTATATTATAAATATTAAACATCGATATAAATATAATGATATATGAATTAATATATTGTAAAAGTTAGATATAAAAATGATAACATTCAAATCAAATGCAAGTAAAAATGATCAGTTAAATATGTTCTTAACGTTTGCACATATTTAACCTTGAGTGACTAAAAATAGTTAACAAATATGCAACTATATATAAATATACTATCATTATATCAAAATAAAGAATGCAAATTTATAAATAATTTATGAAACAGTATTTTCATGCACATTAGAATATATATAAAACACTGAATTAATGATTAAGATTAACGATAATAATCGAAATGTTATCACGATTTTAATTTACTTTATTCAAACTAGATCAGATAAATGTATAACTTAAATTGTCAATTATTTTTTATATCAATTTATCTAGCATTTAAAAATGATTTAAATAGAGAAAAAAGAAAATTTAGACTAAATCAACATTAATTTAAATAAATGAAATAATCTGTGAATAAACACAATTTTACTGGGACTACATTACGTACTTAAGGTTATGCACATCAGTTAATCAATTAATTAACGAGATTAACCTGAGCTTGAGAAACAAATATGAAGTTACAATTAAATTGTTTTTATTATCTTTTATATACATCTATGATGTCGTAAATGAATTTTTTGTTGAATAGTGTAAATATATTATAAGCTAACCTGTTTTTCTATACAACAAGAGCACATGAAAATTGATGTCACTTGATAACGTTCTATCTTCTATTCTTGATTTCTATTTTAGATTAAGCAATAAATAACGGAATTTTTATTTACCATAGATTATGAAAATATATATATTTACAATTACTATTACTATAATTTTATAATTTTATTAGAACAATATACGAATTATCTATATAATTAAGATGATGTACTTTGTGCGGGAAATGTAGACATTTTTAAATAACGCGTTTAAATACCTACATGCAAATATTTAAAAATTAAAAAAAATAATTAAATAACTTATTGCATCATTAAGAATATAGTAATATTATTTAAAGAATTGTAATGCGACGATAAAAGTAGTATTTAAAGATATATATATATAATATATTATATGTATATATAAAAATCGTATTGTGTTAATTTATATCGAAATCGTGCAATCCGATCTATATATCGAACGATTATCGAATTATTTTGAAAATAATATTGCCTAGTCATACAAAAAAAAATATTTAAATAAATTTAGAAAAAAAATACATTTATAAATTAATATTGTTAGTTTCGAGTAATTTATTTTGAATTTTAAAAAGTTTATTTTAAAACATAATACCTAATTCTAAATACCTTTCTGATGCTTAATTTCGTAAGCATGCGTATAGTGGACTACGTAGATTATGTGGGGAAGCCAATATGGCTGGGTGGCATCGGTTATCCGCACGATTACAATAAAAGTAAACTTTTTGGATAATTCAAAAAGAATTTTAAATAAATATGTCGGATTATTTACGATCTGCTATAGGATACTTAAATGGAGGAACTAATACTAATGAATACGTTGGCCAAATTTTGGAAATCAATAATGTAAAACTCCGAGTTAACAGATTAATTGCCGAAGGTAAGTTTGTTGCATGCTTTTACTTTTAGAATTAATTATTTATTTCATCATGATTCTAGGTGCTACTGTTTTTTCATTTGTATTCATATATAATTCTTTCCTTTTTTTTTATTGTCATTTTAAATAATAATGTCGTTTATCATTCTGTATGACTTTTAAGTTGTTAACATGTAACCACCTGGCATCTGTCAAATATGTTTTGACATATCTAATCAAGCAAATGTCTATGCATTATTTCACATTTTTAAATATAATTGGTATTTTATATACTATTTTTCACTTTCTAATACGATTTAATTAATTTATATTGTTTTCCTTTATATTCCATATTTTCTATGATAGATATATTTGAAAACTATAAAGAATTAAAAATAAATATTTCGTTTATATACCATATACTATATATAATACTGCTTATTAATAATTTTTATAAATATATAAGCACTCACTTGGAAAATAACTTTGAGAGAAAGCTTGTATTATTAAATTATAATTAACAAATATCACACAATTACACACACAGAAACAATGAGTTCAATATGTTGCATTGATAAAAAAATTGAATAATTTATATACAAGATATTTAGGAATATATGCTTAATACTTGGTATATCTTATACTTGACATAAAGCAAGTTAAATATATTTCTATACGTATAGTTGTTGTAATGAGATTATGTATCGTTATGAATATTTAGATAATTTGTGGCAAACGTCGTATCAACAGGTGGATGGGCTTTGGTGTTTGCAGTAGAAGATATTTCAACAGGAAAGGAATATGCACTTAAGGTGAAATATTTTTCAAGAATATTTTATTCAAAGATACAAGAAATTACTTGTTGAAACTCATCAGACTTGCTTTATGTTAATAGAGACTCATCGCAGCTGATGAAGATGCTAACAAATCTATTATACAGGAAATAGAAATATTAAAAAAATTGTCAGGCCACCCTAATATTATTCAATATTTGTATGCACAGTGTTTAGAAAAAGAAGCTAGTAAGAATATTGAATATTTACTAGTCACAGAATTATGTCCTGGTGGGACCCTTGCCGATTTACTTCGAAATGTTGCTTCAAATTCATTAACACTTGCTCAAATATGTAAAATTGCCTATCAAGTAACAAAAGCTGTTCATCATATGCATAGTCAACAGCCTGAGCCATTTATACATCGTGATATTAAATTGGAAAACTTTTTAATTGGAGCTGATGGTATTATCAAATTATGTGACTTTGGAAGTACTACAACTAATCAAATCTTACCAAATCCATCATGGAATGCCCAAAAACGTGCTACTTTGGAGGATCAAATGGCGAAATGTACAACACCTATGTACCGTGCCCCAGAAATGATGGACACATGGAATAATGAACCTATAGGACCACCAGTTGATTGTTGGGCACTTGGTTGTATTTTTTATTCTTTAGTTACTTTGCGACATCCTTTTCCAGATGGTGAGATTGTGTTGTTTATTGCTTCATATGATCAACAAAAGAAATCATTCTAAATAATTTTTATTTTGTCTTATTTATAGGTAATAAATTAGCGATTCTCAATGCCAAGTATCCACCATTACCTCCTAATCTTCGGTTATCATGTATACATGAATTAATAAAATTGTGTTTGAATGTATCGCCAGTGCAAAGACTTACAACAGCCACATTATTAGAACGACTTGCATCAATTGGAGAATCAAATGATATTGATCTTAGAGAACCTCCAAATGTGGAAATTGTAACTAAACCTCCTCCACCACCAAGACCTACACCACCTTCTAATACACAGTCACCGCCACCAAGACCAGTTTCTACAGCAACAATGCCACCTCCCAGGCCTGTTCCAACTCAACAATCTGCAGTTAAATCAGCAGTTGTAGCACAGCCAGTCGGCCTATTTAGTTCATTAAAAGGTGGTGCGGGTAGTTTATTACGCAATATAAAAGATACTTCCAGCAAAGTGATGCATACTGTACAACAAAGTATGGCAAGAACTGAATTGGATGCTAGTTATTTAACGTCACGTATATTAATAATGCCATATCCAGCTGACGGTATAGAATCTGCATATAGGGCAAATCATGTAGAAGATGTAAGGAATTTCCTTCAGTCGCGGCATCCACCACCAACTCGTATACAGTTATATAATTTATCTCGTGGACGACCAAGTGTTTCTAGATTACCTGGGAGACATATAGATTGTTCATTTGCTTATGCATCTGCAGACTCTACTGCTCCTTTATTGTCTGCATTATACCAAATTTGTCAAGATATATATAGATATTTGAATGCTGATTTTAATCGTATTGTAGTTTTGTATTGCACAGTGAGTATATTTTTTAAATTATTTATTACTTTCTAAATTATTTATAGTATTTATTATACAGAAATTTTTAATTTACAGGATGGATATCATGCAAGTGCTACAGTAGCATGTGCTCTTTTGATTTATGCTAAAGCTTTATTTTCTAGCGAAGAGGCAATAGCATTATTTACAACAAGACGCTGTTTACCCCCACAATTACAACCATCAGAATTGCGCTGTATTAATTATATGACTTTTCTTAGCAATGGTACTCTTCCTCATATTAAACCTTTAATACTTCGTTCTCTTGTAATACAGCCAGTACCATTATTTACAAGAGCAAAAGATGGTTGTAGGCCTTACATTGAGATTTATAGCAATGGTGCACAAGTTTTTTCGACTAAACGACAAATATACGAAGAAATGAGATTATTTAGTATGGTGGAAGGAAAAATATGCATAATAATAGGAGACGCTACAGTTCGTGGAGATGTTACAATTGTTTTATTCCATGCAAGGCAACAGCTTGGACGTGTTATTGGAATTAAAATTGCTTCATTGCATTTTCATACAGGTTACGTGTCTTTAAATGAAAATGCTTTGATATTTGATAAACAGGACTTAGATGAGGTTCCAGAAATTGGAGGAAAATTTCGTGTTATTTTAAATGTTATGTTTGGCAAAAATAACTCAAAGTTATCTAGAGTACCAGCTCCATGGGAAGCAGAAGAAAGTTCCAAACTTGTACCTGATCCTTTATTTGGATCAACATTGGAGATGGAAGAAACATTAGAGAATTTTAGAACTACTTTAGAAAAGGTAAAGGTTTATTTTATTTTCTTTTTTTAAATTTCAAGAATAAGGAGTATTAAAAATAATAAATATGTAGAATATTCTAAGCTCTCTTATAACCAAATCTTAATAAAATATTCTGAGTATAATTTATTTTTTTTTTTTAATTTTATTTAGTGTGTAGCTTAAGAGTTTAACTAAAAAAGTAACTATAATATAACATAAATATATATGTGAAGATTTTTCTATTAAAAAGTATTTTATGCACTTTAGACTGAAAATAATGATACACCAGAGCCTGTGCCTGAAACAGCAACTGATAATATGGTGCAAGAGGAAATATCCTTAATACAAAATACTGTACAAGAAAAAGAAGATAAAAAGGAAGATATACTTCAAGAAGCTGACTTATTAAATCTAGGATTTTCAGATAGCAATACTGTTAATAATCCTAATCTTACTCCTGCTATGGATCCAGGATTTGATATATTCTCTAGTTCTAGTCAAAACGAAAATGATCTCTTGGGAGGATTTGGCGTGTTTACTCAGCAAGAAACAACAAAAAACTCCCTGCCTACGATTAATGACCCTGTACATAATGACTTATTATTTGGAAATGATCAATCTGTTAAAATGGAAACTAGTAAAAGTAACATTAATGTGAGCAATCTACTTTTTGATCAGAACCAATCTGTAACTAAAGAAACAACTGAAATATTGTTTGACCCTTTGAGTGACACCTCCTCAAATAATTTTCTTGGAGGTCTGACAAATTCAAAATCAAATGTATCAAAGATGCCAAATGTCGAAGAAAATTTCCCACGAAATGCAAGTGTACCAAATTTTGCAGCACAAAATAAAGATCCATTTGCAAATCTTGCTGGGTCACTAGGAGCAGGTCTTACATCTAGCTGGAATGGAACACCAAGAAATTCTAATACTCCTCAATCTGCTAGCCCAGCTCCTGCTAGTACTCCCATTCATTCGAGTCCTAGTATGCATAAGTCTAATACAACTAATGACACGAGTAACAATGATCCCAATGCATTCAGCAATAAATCAGCAAAAACAAGTGGTGATGCATTTGAAGACTTACTTGGTAGTCAAGGATATAATTTTTTTAGCTCCCGAAAAGCAGAAAAGGATAGTCCCAAAACGATAAATCAAATGCGCAAAGTAGAAGCAGCCAAAACAATGGATCCAGAAAGTTTGAAAATTGCAGAGTGGACTGAAGGTAAAAAAGGAAATTTACGTGCTCTTCTTTGCTCGTTACATACGGTTTTGTGGCCTGAAGCTGAAAGATGGCAGCGTTATGAAATGCATCAATTAGTTACTGCTGCTGATGTTAAAAAGGCATATAGAAAAGCATGTTTGGCTGTACATCCTGATAAGGTATTTATATCACATAGTATATTATTAATGTTACGTAATATATTACCGTTTCTTTAAGATTTTATTAACTAAATAATTATAACTTTTTAAATTATTTTATTTATAAATTAATGATTATATATTAATTATTATTGTTGTATTGCAGCAAACAGGAACTGCAAATGAAAATATAGCAAAATTAATATTTATGGAACTGAATAATGCTTGGAGCGCATTTGAAAATGATACATCTCAACAAAACTTATTTAGTTAATTCTTGAAATTGTTGTTAAGGGTGCAAATTTATCTCTATTACTGTCATAAGTTTAAAAAAAGAAAGCAAGCTAAAAGTATATTATATTACAATTGTTTTATTTTAATGTAAAATAACTCTATATTGCATTCCAAGTATTAGCTATGATCAAGAACAAAATCAAATCAGTATTTTATTAAATACTGTGTAAAATTACATTATTTCTAGCCTTTAGGAGTCTAGTTAATGTAATATTTAACATATATGTATATAAGGCAAATATAAATTAAAAAGATTCGAAATATATAAAAATATTTTCCGCCCAAAGTTTCGTAATTTATTATTCCCATTTATAATATTGGAATAATAACTATACATAAAATTACAAAAAGTAAGTTAAATTACAAAGTAAGAATATTCTTCAAAACAGTCACTTGTCATTATAAATAAGAGTTGAACTGTCGTAAAGTAACTCTTTCATTTATTTTATTAATTTTTTTTTTATATTAAATCCTATATAAAGAATTATATTATTAATCATTTTTTTATTTTGTTATCAGAAGAACGTGATGTCACACATACTGGTTCACACATCCTATTATAGAATATGTACATTGGAGGGGTGTGTAGAAGTGCTTGCGTGCGCTATAGGGTTGCAATTTAAAGGGAGGGGCTGCTCAAAAATGGCTGATACGCACAGGGTAGGATATTCGGAAAAGAGAGAGTGACGGTTCGTGTCTTCCATACCGACCAATTGAGATTCTTTTATGACGATTTTGTTGCAAATATAGTTAGTTAATAATTATTATGAGGCGTTTACGAAATAATTTTCGTGTACTCCTAAAACCTCCACCAAAAACGGATACAGATCTTCCTCCCGAAAGGTGAAGTATCCCTGATTATGATCGTTAAGTTATAATTCGTTAAGTAACGAAATATATAGACCAAGAAATCTTATTTTTCTGTACGTATAATTTTATATTATTTAAATATATATGTGTATATATATATATATATATATATTTAAATAAAAACTTACATTTTATTTTATAAATTGCATGCTAATATTAATTTCAATGTTATTTTCACTTACTTCTTCTGTAATTAATCGTATTTTTTTTTCTTTTTTTTTCTTTTTGTGATAAACTAATAATAAACTATATATAAATATATTCGACGTATAGTCTCTAACAATGATATTTAATATTACAGTAAATTAAAGAAAAAAAATATTATACAAATATATTTATTAATAATCAATTTTGTATCCATAGATTAGAGCCTTCTTTTAATAATGTGGATCAAGGAAATTAAGAAACCAAATATACAGAGAAGTTATTGAAAACCTTTAAGAAAGATGTCTGGGTCAACTTTAAGAATTGCATTTTTCCTTTTTTTGGGATTTTCAACAAGCTTGTTAATATTTAGTAAAGCAGATGCTACTAAGTCTATCAGAGCTGTAAAAGCTCGATTAAAAACATCTTATTCATCATGGCGTATAGTGGTATGTCTAACTCAGCCGCAAACTCTCTATAAGATGGATTTCCAAAGATCATGGGAAGAAGCTAGATTAGAATCATCATCTCAGGCAGATATGGAAATATCTTATATCGAAGCAAGAATGACACCATTAAAAGATTCGTTATCATATCCTTTATCATTATTAAATAAGTTTTGCACAGACATCGAAGGTGGAAAAACAGTGTTGAGCCTTATAATGGGTGGAGGTTCAGCGGCTAGATTTCTTGTTACAGCTGCTACTGCCTTGAATCTTCCAGCTTTATGGTTACCATTTGCTCATCGTGATTTTCTTCGTCAGGTTAGTAATTCTTCATTATTTAAACTTCATGTATCAAACAGTAAAAATGTATATTTACTTTATGCTTTATTATAGGGTAATTATGGTCCGTTTGAAAGTCGTATAGGTTCTAGTTCTAAAGAAGTTGGTGCAGCAGCTGCTGCATTAATGCACAGAGCTAATTGGCATGCATTTACACTATTGATTGATACAACTTTACTTCCCGTATCTCATCTTTTTCAAACAAATCAACCAGTGTTAACACCTAGAGTAATCATTCATCTTCCAACGAATGATAAAACTTTGATAATGAGATTAAGAAGAGTAGCTGCTGAAGGAGGTACTGGTGGAATTGTAGTGATGGGTTGTGATTTAAACAACGCAAGAAGAATACTTACAGCAGCTAGCAAATTTGAAATGCTTTCAGGAAGATTTTTGTGGCTCTGGTTAGATCTCAGAGCAGAATTAAGACCTAATGAACCAAATATAATTAGTTCACATATCGTGCATAGTTCAAGAGCATCAATAGCAACGAACGGAAATTCTCCTCCATTAGAAAACTTAGAACGCAATATAAACCTTATATCGGAAAATCAGTTACCTTTAAATTCTTTACCAAGTTTGACAAATGATATACATAGATTGCAAGAATATAAATGGCAAAATGAGAAGACCATAACTAAACGGGAAGAAAAAATATTTAATTTTGATGATGAAGAAGTTAGAATAATGGATAAGGAGTTAAATTCTAAAAGTTTCATGCCAGTTGGAATGCTTGCCTTAAGACCTTCCAGTATAAAAGTAATGAATGGTGATACCTTATTATCTAGAATATTAAGAGAGACATCTCAAGCGTTGGATGAAACACTCTCAGACATAAAACCAAAGATGAATCGTCTTAGAGAATCTCAATTGAAAGAACATTTTATTCCTGAATGTTTTCCACATCCAAATGCTAAATTTTTAACAAGTGAAGTAAGGGAAAATTTTTCTAGAATATTAACACATAAATTAAGAAAATCAATGGGTCAAATTTCTAAAGATAAAGCAGAGTTTCAGTTATTAAATTTGCAAGCAGTGAGGTTTCCTGGAAATAAGACACAATTAAGGTTTAGAATATATTGTTTTTTTTTTTTATTAACATTTTAATACTTATCTAAAATAAAAATCTTTTATATAGATGGACCAAAGTGGGTACTATCAAAGGAGGAAAGGAAGTTCGTCTTGATACAATAATTTGGCCAGGTGGTGGTATTGTTCCAGCTTATCTTGAACAAGGTGGAGAAAGTATTGGAATGCCAGTATACCGCATAGTAACTGCACTAGCTTCACCATTTACTATGGCTACAAAATTACAAGAAGGACTTTGTTTAAGAGGGTTAATTTGTCGTCATGGAAACACCATCATGTGTTGTTATGGATTAAGCATAGATTTGATGTCCTTGGTGGCACGTGAATTGGGATTTCGTTTCGATTTGTATGTTGCTCACGACGGTCTGTTTGGAAAAAGGAATGGCAGAAGTGGTACATGGAATGGTATAATGGGAGAATTAGTTTCTGGACGTGCACAATTGGCTTTTGCAGCAATGAGTGTATCAGCTCATAGAGCAGAAGCAGTAGACTTTACTACACCATATTTTTTTAGTGGTGTTAGTTTTCTTACAGCCCCAAAATTAAAATCGGAGATACCCTTGTTTGCATTCCTTTTTCCATTCAGTACAGAATTATGGATTGCCGTATTCACTTCGTTAAACTTTACTGCAATAGCAGTAGCAATCTATGAGTGGTTAAGTCCGTTTGGTCTTAATCCATGGGGTAGACAACGAAGCAAGAATTTTTCAATAGCTTCTGCCCTTTGGGTAATGTGGGGACTTTTATGTGGTCATCTGGTAGCTTTTAAAGCTCCAAAATCATGGCCTAATAAGTTTTTGATCAATATTTGGGGAGGATTTTCTGTCATCTTTGTAGCTTCATACACAGCTAATATAGCTGCTCTTATTGCGGGCCTTTTCTTTCACTCTGCAGTCAGCAATTATCACGATAAAAGTGTGAGTATTTAAAATAATTTGTACAATTGCATAAAGATATCTTCTAACAAGGGCAAGAATGTTTTCGTTTGTAATTAATTCAATAAAATGTTTTATAATTACAGTTATTATCACAAAGAGTAGGTGCACCCAGAGCATCCGCAGCTGAATATTATGTACAGAGAGCGAATCCTCAACTATGGTCGCATATGGCACGTTATTCATTATCAGATGTTGCCGAAGGTGTTGAAAGATTAAGGAATGATAGTTTAGATATACTCATCGCAGACACACCTATTTTGGATTATTATCGTGCGACTGACGATGGTTGTCGTTTGCAAAAAATTGGTGACACTATCAATGAAGACACATATGCTGTTGCTCTTACAAAGGGCCATCCTCTTAAGGAGAGCATTTCTAAAGTTATAGCAAATTATACTAGTAATGGATTATTAGATATTTTACAAGAAAAATGGTATCTATTAAAATTTATTCTAATATCAATTATAATAGAAGGATTGATGAGATCTTATTTATATTTGATAAATTTATAGGTACGGTGGACTACCTTGCATCCATGGTCGGGAAGGTATGGATACAGGACTAGAACCTGAACAAGGTGGCCAACCTCGACCATTAGGGGTGGCTTCTGTAGCTGGTGTATTTTGTCTTTTGGGAATGGGTGTTGTATTAGGAGCTATTATTCTTGCTGGAGAACATCTATTCTATAAATATACATTACCAAGACTAAGGCATAGATCAGAAAATTCCATTTGGCGTAGTCGTAATGTAATGTTTTTTTCACAAAAGCTGTATAGGTTTATTAATTGCGTAGAACTGGTTTCACCGCATCATGCTGCAAGAGAATTAGTACATACTGTTAGACAAGGACAAATTGCTTCTCTTTTTCAAAAAAGTGTGAAACGAGTAAGTTCTAACTTTTACAAATACTTCTGTTTTATTTTTATATATCTACTAAGTATCCCTGTTCCAGAAGGAACACGAACAACGTAGACGGCGTAAAAGTAAAGCTCAGTTTTTTGAAATGATACAAGAAATACGAAGGTATTTAAACTCTATTTGAATTATATTATTAGTTTTATTCTATTAAGTAGGAATACCTTAATTACGGATTTAAACAAAAATTGAATCATCTTATTCGCTTCGTTTCTTTTTTCATTTTTTAAATAGAGTACAACAAGAAGAAAAAATAGAAATCGTACACGAAGAACCAGAAACAACAAAAGTAGTAAAAGAAGAAAAAGTACCAAAGGGAAAAGAAAGAAGTAGAAGTAAAAGTCCATTGATGCGTAGCCCTAGGAGATCAGAAAAAAGTAGAAGTTCTACTAATTTGTATAGTTCTCAACTTGGATTATCACCTGTCAATCTTGAAACGACGATGAAACCAAGGGAGTTTACCCTTAGTAGCACTAATCTTAGAGCTAGAAGTCCATTGGAAACTGTAGGTCGTAGATTGAGTCACGGTGAC